TGTCTTTTGGTTTTCCAATAATTAGCCATTAAAATGGAGCGACGATTTGAAAAGCAACCGGGGAGTTGGGTGCATTAGTGGAATATCTGCAATGAAATCGAACAAAGCAAATTGAGTGTCAGTAATGCAGTAATCAAGCGAATAAACCAATACTTAGATAATTAATTGGCCATTATGCTTTATTTCGAAATAAATTACGTTTACATTACATTTTCCATTAGCAAAAATAACATTTAATTCATTTTTTGAAATTATTTCAAATATATAAATGCAGTATATATTTTGATTAACTTTTTTAGTAATCTTTTTCATACACTGTTTACTTTACATGTTAAATCTAGTGTAAAGCTTTTTACATAACCAATATTTCAATATCAATCAAAGTCAAAGAACGTCAATTTAATTACACCTGCATATCCATATATACTCGTTAAAAAGTCCCATAAATATGCTTGCTTTAAACGGAACTGGAGAGCCAGCACTGAAACCATAAAAAATGGTAAAATATAAACGGCGCCTCCTACAGCTATTTGTTATTTGCAATGAAAACATTTACTCAGGGCAGCGCTTTAGAAAATGCATTTCGCATATTGTGAAGCCCAGTTAGAAGTCCTACACAAACGCTCACAATAGAATGCTTAATAAATAAATTAGCTAATCAAAATATATATTGTATAATTCATAAGAAAACAAGAACAAATAGCAAATAAACAAATTAATGTGTTGAATAAATACGTTAAGAATTATTATCGCAATTGAATGGGGAGCGTGACGCGGGACATGTCATGACGACATTCGCAAACAGCTTGAGTGCCAGCAGGTGTAAATAATAATAAATAAAATAAAAACATTTTGAGCATAGCATATCAATGTTCTATGGACATATCAGGTGTGGTCCAGCCAATACAAATTGAAATGTTCTTGTCAAAGCCTGACAACAAATAAGCTCAATCACTCATGTAATCAATTAATCGCGTACATAAGCGCAGACAACGCCAATTCCAATGATTAATGTCCACGTTATGGTGCTTATGGTAATTAATACCACTCGAATGTCAAAATGCAATTTATTTGCACGCACTTTCGAGTCGACAACTCGCGTTTAATTTGTTGTGAAAAGAATTTAATTAAGCGCACGATTCTCATATCACAATTGATTGGCATGAACTGCCAAAGGCTTAAGCTCTGATTTAATCAGAATTCGATCTCACTCTCTCGTCTCGCAGTGTCTAATAGTCTCTCTCTCATTCTCTGTATCTCTCTATCTCTCAATTTGTAATTGTCTTTATCTCTCTATTTCCATAGCTCTCCCTCTCTCCTTATTGTCTCGATAGACCGATAGATTCTCATCTCTTTCTCTCTGCTGTGCTCTCTCTCTCTCTATTTCCCTAAATCTCTCACTATCGCTCTCTCTCTCTCTCTCTCTCTCCCTCTCTCTCCCCCTCTCTCTCACTCTTCCAAACTCGCTCTGCTCCCTCTCACACACATATGTACGTACAAGCTCGTTCATTCTTTTCAACTTTCCTTAAACGATATGACAGTTAATTTCATACTGAAACACTCCCATAAATCATTCTGTAAATAATTAGTTAGCAAAAACAATTGTTTATTAAAGTCGTACACGTACTCGTACTGGTACTCGCACTTGCTTTGGTTTTAATTGAAAAGCACTTTGCTGTCAGACTAAGCTTTGACTATTAAGTCAACTGATAACTGTTAAGAAACACTGATGATATGCTCACAGTCGAGTTCCCATCTGGCTTTCACTGTGAGTGCGCCCACAAAGCAGATGCGCCCGCTGCTTTAGACATATCAATTAGCGGTAATCTCGCGGCAATTAAAATTAGTAGCAGCAAAGCGCTGAGTGCTGGACATACTGGCAGCAGCTCTACCATTATTCCGCCATCAGAACGTCACATCAAGGGCCAGCAACATTTCGCCTTCAACGCTCATCATTGTCAGGCCGGTAAAGCATTCGTTACTTCGCTGCCAAGGCGTTAACAGGCAGATGCAGCAGCAGCAACAACGACAGCAAAAATTACTCGGTTCTCGATACAATATTTAAACTGCATGAAGTGCGTGAAGTCAATAGCAACTGGAAAGCTGTTCAAGTTCAAGTGTGCCACAGTTTGAATGTAAGTGTTGTTCCTTAACTGTTATTCAGTCCATGTTCTCGGATCAGAGTTCAGTTCTTGGGTTTGACTGAATACGCAATAAGTGCTGAAAACAGGTTTTGTGAAAATAATTCTGCATCATTGTAAGTTGCATCGTTACAAACGTGAACATCATTCCCAATCGGTCGTTAACGATAAGTAGTAAGAAATTTCACATCCGCATTGATCATATCGTGATATGCTAAAAAAAAAAAAAAAAAAAAAAAAAAAAAAAAAAAAAAATCAAGTAAGACAGCTCTAGTCGAGACGGCTCGACTACGGAATGCCCTGAACCCTTCAGCGAGATTCCAATAATTTTACACTTCTCCGCTAGCAGCTCAGCTGACGCAGAGACTACTTTTGTGCTCTTCTTTGGGCGACGTTATGTAAACATATTTTTTTTTTTTTTTGGAAGCAGGGAAGGGTATTAAAAAGCGAAATGTTTTACCTCGATAATATGAAAACGGATATATGCGCGCTTCATACAGCGACCTACAATTTCAAGTCTAATTGATACGGAAAGTGACAAGCTCATACTCAGACAGACGGACAGACAGGCGGACAGAGCTACGTCGACTAAGCTGCCTATTAAGCAATTACCCAAAATAGATTTAATGCATGCTGGTAAATAAATTTTCATAATAACCATTCAGATTACCTATTTGAATACAGGGTATAATTCAGGGAAGCTGCGCATGCCAAACACTTTGACAAGTTTAGGACAGATAAGAACACACATCACATACGTCTTAGTTGTATTCCTATTAATTAATTTTTTGTCTGCTGTGACTGTTCAGCTCATCAGACTTGCTGACTGCCAATTATTGTAGGGGGAAGTACTGCGCTGATAAGAAACCTGATTTGTGATTAAACGCGCAACTGAAAAGATTCTATAGTAGTTCGGTGTTCATTCATTCGACGCTCATTCACGCTCACATTTAATAACTGATTCATGAATGATTCGTTTACCTTTCGCACAACCTGACGTGAGATATTCTCCCAGTTCTACATAGTTTGTGTTCTTGAACTAGAGATCAAATGAGTCCGATGGTCAAACGCAATTAGAAGCCATAAGGTTGACAATTATATAAACTCTAGACCCGCAGACTGCAGCTGCACGCGCCAGCCGCAACAACAAATATGCTATGCAGTGCATGCCACGTATTTGCGTATGTGTTTGTGTGTGTATCTGCTTTTTAATTGACATGTTATCCAATCTCGGTCATAGTCGCTAATTAAAAGGTTTAAGGCTAAAATTAGCATACGAAGCAACGGCAATTCAAGTGAACACCACTACAGATGCACCCTACAACACACGCATAAAAAGGCCGATCCACACATTTGCATAAAAGTACGTCTCATTTTACACACACACACACACAAAGACTCACTCAAGCTAATTTGCGTGTTTGCTGTTCATGAAGCACAAATTCGTGCGGTACGAGATGGCGAAGTGGACGCCAACAACAAAAAAGTGTCCATAGGCTTGTTCTCTGTGAATGCGAACGTGAATGTGCTGAATCTCTCTATGTGTGTGTGTGTGTGCGTGTGTGTGGATGGGTCCGAGGCAGGGTGGACTGTTTTGCTGAGCATGAGCTGCGTGTCGCCATATTAGATGGCATCGCATGCCAGCAATTATCCGCATAATCTTGTAATACTAACCTAAACCCAAAATGATGTCGAAAGGCAATTTACTGACAAGTTTTCTTTCGCCTCGCAAGTAGCTTAAATTCACTTAACTAGTAACTTGCGTGTGTATAAATGAATGTATGTGTACGTGTGTGTGTGCAGCCAGTGATTATGTATATAAGCAGTAAATACTTTTGACATTTTAACAACCATGATGAATATTACGTATACGCACGGTAATAGAATTTCGCCTTGCCGCGACTTTTTCCACTGAAATTCTAGAAGAGATTAATGTAAATTGGATTTTCTTTAAACTCAACGAAAAGTTAACTAATACAATTAAAATAAATGCTTCAGCAGAGTACTTTTTTATTTTTTATTCAATATACGTTTACTTGAAGCATTCCTTAAAAAAGAAAATAAAAAGGGCACCAAGTCGCTGTTGGACTGATTAAACAGATTTATGGCGACAGTTTGTATGTACACACAAATTCTTTAACTACTCAACAATTGTCACTGTCTATATGCCGTACCCCGTAGGGTGTAGCGCAGCGAAGCACAAAGTTTAACCTGCTTTGGCTGTCTGTTRCGTCCAATTGTTTTGTGAAATTAAATTAAATTGATTGAATTTAGACCCAATTCAAAGCTGAACCCGGACGGAGGTCAGCACTGAGGTGCCACCATTCACAGATTGTATGAATGTATATGTACAAACTGTGAGTATGTGTCTGTGTGTGTGCTAGTGATAATGACACTAATTTTCAGTACGATATGTTTGTTGCTGCAACGGCTGCAGCTGCCTCTGGTAATGGCTATATTGTATTACGGATAGCACATGATGATTGTTGTTGTTGCTTGTACAAAACTTGTTTGTTTAGCAGACATTAGCGCACATTAATACAACCGGAAGTAGTCGATTTGTAAGCACCCAAATAAGGTTAATGGGTCAAAAGCTGGGACTATGGCAATGCGATCGACTCTGCTGCAGGTTAAAGCAATTGCAGAAGGTCAAAGACCCATTGATATCGGTAGAGCATTAATGTTACTCCAAGCGGTCAATATTTACTTGGCTTTACGGCCTGACAGACAAACTAAATGGAAGAAGCAGACCGCATAAACACACACACCAGCACAAATACACACACATTTATATACATAGAGTAGCTGAACAGTAAACACAGATCACAATTACGTCGCTACCTCTTCTATCTCTATCTCTTCTTCCGTCTCTGACGCCATCTCCTTTTCTTGTGTGCCATGCTTCTGAGGGGCTTATTTAAGCGCCGCGCTGTGGGCGTCGGCGTCGTCTCTGCCGTCGTCGTCTTCATTCAATTGTTTGTCGCGCGCCGTGATTACGTCCAGCTTGACCGGCGCACTGGACAGTCCCGAATGGAGCTAGCAGTTTTAGTAGGCAATGCGCGCGCGACTGATGCGCCCGCACTCAATCTCGTTGCTGGCTGCTCTCGGCTATCAGATCGCGGTTCGCGTTGCTCGGTTCTCGGTTCTCGGTTCTCGGTTCTCGGTTTTCTCGATTTCGATTCGCGGCTCTTTAGCTGGCGGCTTTTCATTCTTTCGCAATTGCGTCGCGAACAAAATTGCGTTTAATTAAAGTATAAAGGCCAGAGCTCACCATTCGGCACTATTCATTGTCGTTTTCATATTGATTAAACATATTTGAAAACGTGCATTATGAGTCGCCACATCCCTTTGAAGCTGACGCTGGTGCAGGTGCACGGTGCTCACCCACCGCCAAATCCGCGTGCCGCTCGTACCGAGCGTCGCGTCAAGTTGGGGCTAGGGGTTAATCAGCAAACAGGTCGCGTACAGTGGTGTCCCGGTCTAACCTGTTGCAAATTGCTCTTACTGATTCCAGTGGTGATGCTGCCATTGACATTGGTGCTGCTGCTGCTACTGCGGCTGGACGGAATGCTGCAAGCGCTGCAATTAAGCGAACAACGCGTACGCGAGCAACGCAAAGCTGCCATCTCGGTGCCCGGCTACCTGGAGGACTACGAGTCGCTGCTGCCGGAGGGAGAGACCTACAATGACCTAATCAATGATGAATTTCTATTGCCGCACGCCAAGCGTACACAGATAGAGTTGAACGCAGCAGAGAAAGCCAAGCGCTGTCTGCCTTATCGCTATTCGAATGGCGAGACACTAGAGCTAGAGGATCGCAGCATTTTAATGAAAGATGCCCGCACATCTTTTCTACCCCATGGCTCTGTGATTGGCGCAATGCCCAGCGAGTGCTTCGAGAACGAAATGACAGACACCGAGAGGAACACTGTGGTCGACGATGAAGGCTCCGAGTTCGACACCAGTCGCAAGAAGAGCACACCCAAACGGTATCCGGATAAGAGACAGTACATGTCCCAGCGACGGCAGGCAGTGCGGGAGCGACGTGAAGCACAGCAGGAGCAGCATGTGGATAATCTGGAAGCGGAGTTGATTGAGAGCTCACTGCAGTCTTTTTGGAACGAGCAGGGCACTCGGGAGGATATACGTCAAGCCCAGTCGAAGACCATGCAGCGTTACATGAACAGACATGTAGATCCGTGCGTGGATTTTTACAAGTTTGCCTGCGGTAACTGGGAGAGGCTGCACCCCATACCTAAGGACAAGGCGGGCTTCGATACCTTTGAGATGTTGCGTGAGAGTCTGGATTTAGTGCTGCGCAATCTGCTTGAGAGGACTCCGCAGTCACCAAATTCAGAGATGCGAGTGCGGCAAAACGTATTCAAACTGAACGAGCAGGAGCCGGAAACGGATCAGGCATCCGAGCTTCAGGCTGAGCGACTACGTCGGCACATTGTCCATCGGCGGCATTTGCTGAATCGTGTGCTCGTGCGCTATAAACGCTTTACCAATGCCACCAAACGGAAAAGGCTCTTTGAACCAGTGCGCGAGAGGAACAGAGAGCAGGATACGCCGGCGTCTTCTACGATACATATTAAGGATAAGGACAATGACAAAGACAAGGACAAGTACAAGGAGGAAATGACACCGATGCAAGTGAATACCAAGGAGTTCTTGAAACCCAAACACGATGCTCAACTGAAGGCAAAGAATCTATACAAGTCATGCGTAAACAGCGAGCTGCTCAATCGTCGCGGCCTAGACCCGCTGCACTCGCTCATTCGGCAGCTGGGCGGCTGGCCAGTCCTTGACCCGGATTGGCGTAGCACCCACTTCAACTGGCAGCAACTAGCCGCCACGCTGCGTCGGTACAACAACGACATACTTATCGTCCAGTGGGTGGGCGCTGATATCAAGAACTCTGAGGAGAATATCATACAGTTCGATCAAACCGGGCTGGGCCTGCCCACACGCGAATACTTTCTGCAGCAGAGCAATGCCAAGTATTTGACTGCCTACCAGCGTTACATGTCCGAGGTGATGCACAAGCTGGGCGCCAGCAAAGCGGATGCAACTCATACGGCCACCGAACTAATTGCCTTCGAGACAAGGCTGGCAGCGATTACAGCTCCAGCGGAGCAACGACTCAATGTAACCAAGGTAAGTGGTAAATGAACTTCATAAATCTGTTGTCCATTATCAATAATACTATAACTTTTAATCTGCACAGCTCTACAAACGGATGACGCTACAGCAACTGAAGGCGACGGTGCCACAGATTGACTGGATTGTGTACCTGAGTACCCTTCAGGGACGCAACGTCAACGAGACGGAACAGGTGGTCATCTATGCGGTGGAGTACATGAAGCAGCTGGTGGCACTGCTTGCCGTTACGGAGCCCCGCACAGTGGCCAACTATATGATGTGGCGGTTTGTACGGCATCGCATCAACAATGTTGACGATCGCTTCGATGACATCAAACAGAGCTTCTACCATGCGCTCTTTGGGCGCGAAGAGAGTCCGCAACGGTGGAAGGTGTGCATAGCACAGGTGAACACGAATATGGGCATGGCCGTAGGCTCGATGTTTGTGAGTCGGTACTTTGATGACAACAGCAAGAGGGATACGATGCGCATGACCCACGAGCTGCAGCAGGCATTCCGGGACATACTGAAGACCACAGACTGGTTAGATCAGACGACTAAGCTGTTGGCCGAGGAGAAGGTGAATGCCATGTCCCTTAAGATTGGCTATCCGGACTTTATACTTAATGCCGAGGAGCTGAACGAGAAGTATGCTGGTATCGATATACACCCAGATAAATACTTTGAGAACACGCTCAATGTGCTGCTGCACACGGCCAAGATGGAGCAGGCCAAGTTGCACGAGCGTGTCAACAAAACCAACTGGCAGACGGCACCGGCTATTGTTAATGCCTACTATAGCCGCAACAAAAATCAGATCATGTTTCCCGCTGGCATACTGCAGCCGCCCTTCTATCATCGTTATTTTCCCAAATCTCTCAACTTTGGTGGCATCGGAGTGGTCATTGGGCATGAGTTGACCCACGGCTTCGACGATAAAGGCCGGCTCTTCGATAGCAATGGCAACATACACAAGTGGTGGACGGACTCGTCCATTCGCGGCTTCGACGACCGCGCCCGCTGTATCATTTCACAATACGGCAATTATACGGTCGAGGAGGTGGGCATAGCTCTCAATGGCGAGAGCACGCAAGGTAGGCCACAAATCCAGTAATCCAATTAATTGCATGGCTCATCAGTCATCTGCCCCTCAGGCGAGAATATTGCGGACAATGGAGGACTGCGGCAAGCTTTTCACGCTTACATGCGTTGGTTAAATGAAAACCCCAACGAGGCCAAGGATGAGATGTTGCCGGGACTAAATATGACCGGACCGCAGCTATTCTTCTTAAATTTCGGCCAGGTGTGGTGCGGCGCCATGCGACCGGAGGCGATACGCAACAAGCTAAACACAGCCATACATAGTCCTGGACGCTATCGTGTCATCGGCACCCTCTCCAACTCATATGACTTTGCACGCGAGTTCAACTGCGCGGCTGGCACGCCCATGAATCCCCAAAAGAAGTGCAGTGTCTGGTAGCCGAAATCCATTGTTTCCTATAGCCTAAGAGTATTACGAACGATCCATTCCTAAACCAACCAGCACACGCCAGTTGGATCTAATTGTAAGTATTATATCAATAAATAAAACCACTTAGCACTAAACATTCCAATGCTGACATATCACATTCAGAATCGCTCCACTTTCGGAGCCCCTTGATTGGGAGTTGCGCTTGATGTTCGCCAGCTTCCTCTCAGCTGTCATTTATCCCATTGAAGATGGGCTTGTTGTGGTGCTGTCATCAACAACGTCGCACTTCAGTTGGGCCCGTTGCGCCACAATTTACATTCCCTTAATTAATGGTGATTTATGCCCACTAGTTGGATTGCTTTTAATGGCCTCCCTATGCGGTTGTTACTCTCCTTCTTGTGGTGGTGAACTTCTTCAATTGTCTTTCCAATTAGCAAGCCAACACATAAATTTTAGAAATTTTTAAAGTAAGAATTTATAACTTTATTATTAATCATATATGTATGTATGTACTTAATATACAATTATATTTATAATTAATTAAAGTTTTGGAAATGTGAAAATTCTTAAACTAAAACTCGATTTTAGTTTTGCAAGAGCATCATATTTAACCCTTTTAAACTTTACAGACGGCGCTTATTTTCGGATTTATCCCAAACCTGACTTGCCATTCAACTAAAACTACCAGGATATATTCGCAAGTGTATTCAACCAAAGATATTTAAACCGAAGTGTGCCAAAAAGAAAAAAAATAAAGTATAATATACTTTATGATTTTATTTTATATATATATATACTATAGTATTTAACTAACTATATTTTTAAATTGCAATAATTTAGTTGAAACTATTTATGTTTGTGATAATTCTAATAAAATATTAACAATAGCGAAATGTGCACAAACGAATCAAGAAATTTATTTTCTATCTATTCTAATATATGTATGTATAGGGGGACGACGCAACACTGGCAACAGTTCCAAAACTTTGCAGCTTTCAAGCTTCATAGAAAACAAATATTTTGGAAAACTTTTGAGCATATTTTCTAATATGTTCATCTTCAGTTGTAGCAGTGTCTTCAGAGGGGACGGATCGCCGAGCAACACACGTCTGAGTTGGTTGTCCACAAATATATATAGACAACAGAGAAAAGTATCAAAAATAGACACAGAACACTTACTTAATAAAAAGAAAATATTCAAAATTAACAAATAGAAATAGATTAAATGCATTTTTGGTTGACTGTTGTGGTACTTCTGTGGTCACGTGCAGTCCATGGCTACGGCAGCAATCCCTATGCAGTTTCCAATAGGCAGGCCATACGCATCGGTAAGCTAACAGAGAATTGACCAGACATTCCACTCAAACACTCTCGCATACTCATCGCTCTTTGACTCAATCAACGGCGCGCAGGTCTAATCACTGACGATACCACGGATAGAATACGCCAAACATTCGAGCATGCCATAGCCGTGGTTAACAGCGACCTGAGCGTCCCACTGGTGGGTGAAACAGAGCAAGTGGCTTATGGGAACTCTGTCCATGCTTTTGAGCAACTATGCAAACTAATGCAGGTGAGAAATGCGTAAACAATAAGTTCTGAATGTTAATTAAAATCGTTATTTTGCTATAGAATGGGGTGGGCGCCGTATTTGGACCTGCTGCCAGGCATACTGCTGCCCATCTACTGAATGCCTGCGATGCCAAAGATGTGCCCTTCATATATCCGCACCTGTCATTGAGTCCACAGACCGATGGCTTTAACCTGTATCCGCATCCGGAGGACATTGCCCATGCGCTCTTCGACATCATCACACAGTTCGAATGGTCCCGCTTCATTTTCTGCTACGAGTCCTGTATGGCAAATGCCTTTTCTATCGGAATATATCTGATAATTTTTTACTGCTTGCAGCGGAATACCTCACCATACTGGATCACCTAATGACATTGTATGGCACCAAAGGACCAGTCATCAAAGTGATGCGTTACGATCTCAATCTCAATGGCAACTACAAGGCGGTTCTACGACGCATCCGCAAGTCGGAGGATAGTCGCATCGTGGTGGTCGGCTCAACGGAGGGCGTGGCCGAGCTGCTGCGTCAGGCACAGCAGGTGGGCATCATGAATGAGGATTACACATATTTGGTGGGGAATCTAGATCTGCACACCTACGAACTGGAGGAGTACAAATACAGTGAGGCAAATATAACTGGCATACGCATGTTTGACCCGGATAAGAAAGAGGTGCGTGACTTAGTCGAAACACTGCAACACGAGATAGGCGAAAGTGAGCCCATGAACAATGGTGAGATCTGAGTATCAATTCTCTCCCATTATATATTTCATACTTAATTCAATGATTTAATATATGTAGGCTCTTCCACTATAACGTTGGCCATGGCCCTAACATATGATGCAGTGCGAGTCATTGCCGAAACAACCAACTTTTTGCCCTACCAGCCGCAGCAGCTAAATTGCTCTGAGCGTCATGATAATGTTCAGCCGGATGGCTCCACATTCAAGAACTATATGCGATCGGTAAAAATGCTTTTAAAAAATTAGATATTTTGATATATTGATCGTTATATTGTACAGCTGGACATTTTGGACAAAACAATTACGGGACGAATATTTTTTCAAGGCAATATGCGTAAGAGATTCACCTTCGATGTGATCGAGCTGCAGCCTGTGGGTCTGGTGAAGGTGGGCACCTGGGAGGAGGGGAAGGACTTTGAATTTAAGCGACCACCACCAATAATAGATCTTAATGAGAACGAGGAAAATACCTTGGTGAATAAAACCTTTAAAGTGCTTATTTCTGTTCCGGTAAGCTAAACCCTATTTCATATAGTCTCCCTGCTTAACATTTTGCCATATACAGAACAAACCCTATGCTAGTCTGGTGGAAAGCATTAATACTCTGATTGGCAATGATCAGTATGAGGGCTATGGCATAGATCTGATTAAGGAGCTGGCTGATAAACTTGGCTTCAACTTTACCTTTCACAATGGTGGCAACGATTATGGCTCCTTCAATAAGAGCACAAACATGACAACAGGAATGCTCAAGGAAATCGTTGAGGGCGTAAATAGTATTCACTATGTGATTAACTATATTATAAATTAATCGACAATCTCTAACAGCATGCAGACTTGGCCATCACTGACTTGACTATCACTTCAGAAAGAGAGGAAGCCATCGACTTTTCCATACCATTTATGAACCTAGGTAAGCCATTTTGAATATGATGCTTTAAAAATTATTTTAAATAATATTTAATTGGTGGTAAGGTATTGCCATTTTATATATAAAACCCCAAAAGGCGGAGCCCGAGATCTTTTCATTCATGGACCCATTTTCTAAAGAGGTTTGGCTGTACCTGGGTATAGCGTACTTAGGCGTGTCGCTGTGTCTGTTTGTGCTGGGCCGCCTCTCCCCTTCCGAATGGGATAATCCGTATCCCTGTATTGAAGAACCGGAAGAGCTGGAGAATCAATTCACCATAAACAATTCACTGTGGTTCACTACGGGCGCATTGCTCCAGCAGGGCTCCGAAATCGCACCTAAGTATTACCATAAAATCTTACAAATAATTTGTAATAATTATTTTTCCATATCACAGAGCCCTGAGCACACGCACAATATCAGCTATCTGGTGGTTTTTTACGCTGATCATGGTATCCTCATACACTGCGAACTTGGCTGCGTTTCTGACCATAGAAAACCCGTCCAGTTCAATTAACAGCGTTGAAGATCTAGCAGAGAATAAAGACGATGTGCAATATGGTGCAAAGCGCACCGGCTCAACGAGAAACTTTTTCTTGGTAAGTAGTAAATGGAAGAACGTAACAGTAATCAATGTTTACTTGCCCTAATTCAGACGTCCGAAGACCCGATCTACATGAAAATGAATACCTACATGACCAATCATCCAGAGATGCTTACTGAAACCAATCAAGCGGGCGTCGATAAAGTCAAGGCGGGCACAAAATATGCTTTTCTCATGGAATCAACGTCTATAGAGTATAATACGGTGAGGGAATGTACTCTGAAAAAGATTGGCGAAGCGCTGGATGAGAAGGGTTATGGCATTGCAATGCCCAAGAGTGAGTACAGATTAGAATTCGACCTTAAACTAAAAGTAAACTAAAATATTCCTACCTAGACTGGCCCTATCGCGATAAATTCAACAATGCGCTACTCGAACTGCAGGAACAGGGAGTCTTGGCTAGGTTAAAGAACAAATGGTGGAATGAAATAGGCGCCGGTGTTTGCAGCGTAAGTTGTCAATGCTTCAGCACTCTTTTAAATAAGTATAATACATATTATCATTCATTACAGGACAAGAGCGACGACGAGGGCTCTTCTGCATTGGGCATGAAAAATTTAAGTGGCATTTACGCTGTGCTTATCGTTGGTTCATTGTTTTCCTTTATCATCTCCTTTTTCTACTGGTGTTTGTTTGTCTTCAAGAAAGCCAAGTTCTACGAGGTAAGTTAGATGCTTCTTAGGAAACAATCTCTACTTATTATTTACAGGTGCCCTTCTGCGATGCGCTTGCTGAGGAGTTTAAAATTGTTGTCAGTTTTGCGGAAAATGAAAGAGCTCTGAAGAGCGCCCAGTCGGTCTATTCACGCAGTCGGAATTCCTCACAGTCCATAGACTCTCTGGAAACTGATTCGGAGAATAATCTACCCGATGGAGACTAGGATCAGACCAAATCTTTAATTAAAATAATTAAAACGATATATTTTATTATTTTGTAAATTGTCTCACTTGATAATATCGTAATAATGCTTAAATAAACTTTTGAACTCAAAGCTTATTTAAACTTTTACTCAAAACTTTTTCCAAATTGATATTTTGGAAATGCTCATTCAGTCGTCAACTTTCGCTCAATGCGTGAAGAACATAAAGTCTAAAGGTGCAGCCTATTTTTCTGCCTAATATTGTATTATATATATGGAGCAGAAAGCTTAGTTATTTCATCCTTAGACAATGTTTATGATTAATATTTTAATATATTTTTCAATAATCACATCAAGAATTTCGATTCTTAATGCACAATATGAACATTATGGCGGATATGATAGCTTCCAAAACGCGGCCAGCATTCCAATTGGTAAGTTTTTCTAGCAATGAGCATTGCGGTCGCCGTGCGCCTGATTTATTTTTAATGTCTCGTAAAGAGAACATGCTGTTCGTTCCATCAACGCTGAAAGCTCATAAAATGCTTTTAAGTATTTGTTTGTTTTGTTTTTCAAGAAATCGTGGCAGCGTCTAAATGTACTCTGAATATCTGAATATAGACTGCATTAAGTTCAAGTTTTTGTTTATAAACAAACCGGCAAAACTTACGTTTTATTATTATGATTACAAATTCGACAAGATAGTGTTCTTTGTTCGAGTATGCCCGACTTGGAGCTACCCACAACTACTCGAAAAATTAACAACAAAAATATTTGTAGTTCTCTATAGCTAGCAGAGAATCCCTCTTAATGATTTTAAATTTCCTTAAATAATCCTTAATTTTAAATTTTCAGGTTTGCTCACTGATCAAAATACGGATGAAATGAATATTGTATTTGATCATGCAATCGACGTAGCTAATGAAGAGCTGGGCCTAGCTATGACATCCCTAAAAGCGGAAGTGAACTACGGCGATGCTTACCAAAGTTACGGTAAGCTGTGTCGCATGCTGGAGGTGGGTCTCCATCTTTGTTGCTTGGATAAAAATAAACAATTTAATGCAAACACTATCGACAGACGGGTATAGCAGGTGTCTTTGGACCTTCATCACGACACACGGCTTTGCATTTGATGTCCATATGCGATGCCATGGATATACCTCATATATACTCTTATATGAGCGAAAATTCCGAGGGTTTCAATTTGCATCCCCATCCTGCTGACCTATCGAAGGCTCTCTATAGCCTTATAACTGCGTTCGAGTGGTCGCGTTTTATATTTCTTTATGAATCGGGTATGTTATTTTTGTGTTTTCATGCCATGCCTTAACTTCAAATTTTTCTTCGCAGCTGAATATCTGAGTATTTTGAATGAGCTCAACTCCCTCTTCGGCATGAATGGGCCAATCGTCACAGTGTTACGCTACGACATGCAGCTGAATGGGAACTATAAGCCGGTGTTAAGGCGCGTACGCAAGTCCAAAGACAATCGGATTGTAGTCGTGGGCTCTACTGATACAGTGCCAGAGTTTCTGAATCAAGTGGGATCCACTAATCGTTTATAAAACTATTTAATAAATAAATCTATGACCTTCTCCATTCCAGGCACAACAAGTTGGCATTATCAATGAGGACTATAGTTATATTATTGGAAATTTAGACTTTCACTCATTCGATTTGGAGGAGTACAAATACAGTGAGGCCAATATAACAAGTTTTCGACTGTTTTCCTCGGAAAAAATGGCTGTTAAGGAGCTTATGGAGAAAATGGGCTATACAAGCGAACAAGATGACTTTCGGAATGGTAAACAAAATATCTTTATATTCCGGCACGGACTCTCATTTTCTTCTTTTTAGGCTCCTGCCCCATTACCGTGGAAATGGCTCTCACATATGATGCAGTACAATTGTTTGCTGAAACTCTAAGGAATCTGCCCTTTAAGCCGGTTTCTCAGAATTGCTCACAACGCACAGAAAGTGTGAGAGACGATGGTTCCTCCTTCAAAAACTATATGAGAACGGTATTATTATTTAATAAAATAAAATATTTGACTTTTGCTAAGTACTCAACTATCTAATAGCTACGTCTTAAGGACCGATTGCTCACTGGACCTATTTACTTTGAGGGAAACGTACGCAAAGGCTATCATTTGGACGTAATTGAGCTACAGCCCTCCGGAATAGTCAAAGTGGGCACGTGGAGCGAGGAGCGTGACTTCAGGCCAGAGCGCTTGGCAGCGACCAACTCTCAATTCGATAATATTGACAATTCTCTGGCAAACAAAACGTTTATCATATTGCTTTCAGTGCCGGTAAGAGAGCAAACCAGCAGGGCTTAGCTGAAGCTAAAAATAAATTTGTTCTAAACAGAACAAACCTTACGCCAGTTTGGTGGAGAGCTACAAGCAGCTTGAGGGCAACAGTCAATATGAAGGATATGGTGTAGATCTGATCATGGAACTGGCTGATAAGCTTGGATTTAACTTTACATTTAAGAATGGAGGCAATGACTATGGCTCATACAACAAAACTTCGAATGAGTCTACGGGCATGCTAAGAGAGATAATGCATGGAGTAAGCTATCTTTACCTCAGATGAATTATTATTATCTAAACTAACATTTCATCATAGCACGCTGATTTGGCAGTCACTGATCTGACTATAACATCGGAGCGTCAGGAGGCCATCGAATTTAGTATACCGTTTATGAATCTTGGCAAGTATAAAATATTCTAGTAATTATGAGCTCATATTTACATATATTTAAATTTTAGGCATCGCTATACTTTTCTTAAAGCCTCAGAAAGCCCAACCAGAACTTTTCACCTTCATGGATCCGTTTTCAGAGGAGGTCTGGTGGTTCCTGGGATTGTCATTTTTGGGCGTTTCGTTAAGCTTTTTCATACTTGGCCGTCTGTCGCCCAGTGAATGGGATAACCCCTACCCTTGCATTGAAGAGCCAGAAGAGTTAGAGAATCAGTTTACAATAGGCAACTCAATTTGGTTTACAACTGGTGCTCTGCTACAGCAAGGCTCAGAAATAGGACCCAAGTGAGTTTACGTAATCATCATTTAAGGAAATTTTCATAGCCTTTTATTCTCCAACAGAGCCTTATCCACACGCACTGTGGCTAGTTTTTGGTGGTTCTTCACGTTGATTGTCGTGTCCTCCTATACAGCCAATCTGGCTGCTTTCTTGACTATTGAGAAGCCACAAAGTTTAATCAACAGCGTGGATGATTTGGCGGATAACAAAGATGGCGTTGTCTATGGAGCCAAGCGAACAGGATCAACTAGAAATTTCTTTTTAGTAAGTCACACCATTTTTTTAATACTACAAGGAACTGCTTAAATAATACTTTGACAGAACTCTGAGGATGAACGCTACATAAAAATGAATAAATTTATGACTGAGCATCCCGAGTATCTAACAGAGACCAACCAAGAAGGTGTGGACCGCGTTAAGGTTAGCACTCAATACGCATTTCTCATGGAATCCACATCCATTGAGTACAACACAAAACGTGAATGTAATCTCAAGAAAATTGGCGATGCTCTGGACGAGAAAGGCTATGGCATAGCCATGCGGAAAAGTAACATAAAACATATCATCCTTAAATATAAAAAATTTCCTTAAGCACTTAAACTGTTTCCCTGCAGATTGGCCTCATCGTGATAAACTGAATAATGCTCTGCTGCAGCTACAGGAGCAGGGTGTGCTGGAGAAGATGAAAAACAAATGGTGGAATGAAGTTGGCTCTGGAATTTGCGCCACCAAGGAAGAAGCACCAGAAGCCACAGCTCTGGCCATGGATAATTTGGAGGGTGTTTTCTTCGTGCTACTCGTGGGTTCATGCTGCGCGTTGCTCTATGGGGCGGTCAGCTGGGTGCTGTTCATCGTCAAAAAGGCGCGGCACTTTAAGGTTAACATTATTTTAATTTAATTTAATTTAAACCAAGAATTCAATTCAAACACTTTCAGGTACCGTTCAAGGAGGCTTTCTTGGAAGAGTTTCGGTTTTTAATTGACTTCAATAACTATGTGCGCGTGCTTAAGAGCTCGGATTCGATTTACTCACGTAGTCGTCAGTCTTCTATGACAGTGGGTTCAATAGGACAGTAATAATACCACTGAATTGGTCATCGTTAACTTTATTAAAAAGTTTTTAATTCAAATGGAATGCTTGAAAGAATTTGAAAAATACCTTTTCAAGTTCAAGTGCCTATTAAAGCAACTGAATATAGCTTAACTGTTAATGCTAATTGTTCTGTGCAATAAATGTACTTGATTTGCATATGCACCAAAAAATATATGAAACAGAAATATTTAAAATGGATTTTAAATATTTTTTAGAATATTCGGCCATTTATTTGGCCATACATTTAGTGGTTAATTAATGTTGTACCTAGTACATAGTTGAGATCGGACTTAGGTCCAGTTCTTGGCTCGCCAAAGCAGGCAATGTATGTGGTTATCTAAATCTGTTGTGGGCATGAGTTTACCCACACCATGCGTAGGCGTGCTTGCTACTGAGCTAGAATTATTCGAAGTGGACTCGCCCATGTCCACATAACGTGAAATCAGCGAGCGATAGCGCCGTCCGAGCGTAGCTATTAGTGGAATGCCGGCATTCGGCATGGTGATTATAGCCTTGATCTGCAATAGATTTATAAACCATAATTACTAAAAATATATATATATATATATATATACCAAATTCTTTACCTCATTCTCATATGGACGAAATACGCTAATGGGACGCAACGTAAGCAACTCAGCTACAATGAGACAACCCCAGGTAGTGCCTATGTACAGCTCTGCATTGTGGGCCGCCAGCGCTGAGATTTGACATTTAATAAGATTTACGTGCTCATCAATCGCAATGCTCTGAAGAGATTCAGAGCAAGGCAGTAGCTTAGAGCAGTCCAATTTGTTTTCAATGCGCTTTGAGATAGTTCCCCACTGATAGACCATGCAACCGGGATACAAGCAACTGAAGACGTGGCTCTCGTTGCTGCAAAGCCGCGTCACTTTAACATCCTCAATGAGATTCGGCTCGTCGCTGTGACACAAGGCCTGATGACCACACACACCAGATTCATTGACTGGAAAAACGTTGATTTTGCCAGCTAACTCACCACACCAGAGCTCGTAAACGCTGCAGAGATCCCAAAAGATTATTCGAGATTCTCAAAGATTTATAACATACTCACCCTTCGATTAACACTGAGCAGGCAGCATGTAGCACAAATCCGGAACAGATCTCAGTTAGTACAAATGAGCCCTCGGCAAAGGCACAGTTAGTGGGCATGCGACTGGCATCCACCAGGAAGACGCGACCATTTTGTAAGCCCACCGCGACTCGCGTAATACCCTCCATATATACTAAACTTATCACAGCTGACTTGATGGCAGGATCAAGCATGTAGGAGAACAGATGTGCATAGCTCGATGTGCTATAGGCGTGTAAGTTGCCGGAAACATCGCCCATCCAAATAGCCTCACCCACTAGGCAGCAGCACAGCATATTCACTTTTGGCATACGCTGTGCGGAGCGTGCTCGGGAGGATGCGCTATTCTCGGGCGTTTTGGGCGGTACCATTTGTGGCTGTGGAGCACAGCTAATGCTGCTGCACTGCAGCACACTGCCAGTTGGCGCAACGTCTAGTATATCAATGTGTGACCCAAAGGCAGGCAGCCACAGCTCGAGGCCGGACCGCTCCTCGTCAATGCCAGTCAATATTAATTGGAATACGCCGCAAACAATCTTGTCGTTATGTGGCAAAGCTACCACATCCAGCAAATGGATGCATTCAGGTGCACTAAAGGGTAAATTTGATTGTCAGATAATAATCAAAAGTAAACGTAGTCATCAAAAGTTACCTCAGTATTGAGACTATCTGACTTGCTGATGGCCGTCGACGCGGTTGCTCGTGCCAGCAGAGTACCATAAGATCTAGACAACAAGTGGGAAACTGTGTCTCACGATGTGTCAGAGCCGGACGACTGCCCTCCAATATGCACTCCTTGATGGATTCATGGCCCTCGAAGGGCTGGCGCAGGGTGATGTTCTCATAGATGAACATTCCAAAGGAAAAGCAGTCCACCTAAATGGAAAATAAAATGTGAGCGGATATGCATATCATTTATTTATTACGAATTGCCTTTTCGGTATATTCCTCTTCGCCGTTAAATCTTATTATCTCGGGCGCCATAAATCCCTCTGTGCCACCGAAACCCTTGGCACTCAGACCAGCCGCCGTCTGCCGACTTATCCCATAATCCGCAATCTTGATGTGCACCTGGTTGCGCGGACTATCCTCAGTGTGAGGTTGGGGCAGCTCCCAGACGAGCACATTTTCAGATTTAAGATCCCGATATATAATCCGCCTTCGGTGCAGATACTCGATGGCGCGTGCAGCCTGCAGCACTAACATTTGGAATGTATGCGGACCAATATGTGCGCCACTTCGTCTATACTGGCGTAGTAGAGCATCGAGGCCTCCCAATGGCGCTAGTTCCAGCACTAAAGCCAAAGGTTTAATGCAAATTCCAACCAGCGGAACAATATTCGGATGCTTCAAAGTGAGCAGCACGGCCAACTCCTGCCTGGCTGTGCAGTAGGCCTTGCAGGAGTGCTGCAGCGGATCTCGATCCCATTTGCCCAGTGCGACCTTGTAGGCCATCAAAGCACTCTATGCAAAGTAAAAAGAAATAATATCTAAACTATTTAACTTTAGTCTGAACTCACCTCCTTGGCTCGCGCACCTGGCTGCACTGGCTGAAGCATTTTCATGGCTACCGGCCGGAAAACCCGAGTTCCACGTAATTTACAGCTGGCTTTAAACACGAACCCAAAGGCTCCACGTCCCAGTAGAGAGCCCTTGACGATGCAGTCCGTGGCAATCGTGTGCTTGTCGGGTATATCTGCAAAGATGACATCCGGCGCCAGCTGAGCCATTGACTGTTCTAGATGAACCGGGCAACTGAGCTTAATTTGATTATACACAGACAAAATGCACTCCTCAACCATCCAGGCATAGCAGACGTTCGAGTTATCCGGCAGATGATGCGATGCATAGGTAGGATGTCCATCTATAGAGGTGTTACGTGAAGAGAAAGCTGAGTCTGGTCCTACTCCCGAGTCTGCGTCCGATCCAGCACCCAGCGAATCAGCTGAGCGTCTCTCTCGGCTTGCAGTTGCATTCAAATAAGCAGAGAACACATTTAATGCTCCATCGTCCCCAGGATCACCGGCGCCATGCAGAAAGTATGTGCCCCGCTTAGTGCTACGACTGGGTCTGCTGCTATTTGGCAGACTGGGCTCCTTTTCCGCGGGATCTGCACCATTCTGCAGCTGCAGCTTACGTAAACAACGTGGGCAGAGCACAAGACGTGTTATTAAGAAACGGCCTTCTGAAGTATGCACAAAGCGCGTACCCAGTGCTGGGTACCAATCCTCTAGCAACAGATCAATATGATCCACAACCAAGGCCAGTAGATTGGCAACATGTGACATATGCGGCTGCAGCTCAGCCAGTAGTTGTCTCTCGCCTGACTCGAGTTCTTGAGAAATGGTCACATTAATGAGCGGAAAGAAAACTTCCAAAATGCTGGAGGAACTTAGATTCACATCGCTCCAGATACCATCCAACTTGAGTTTGAAGCGATTACTAGTTGTACGAAAAGGCTGCGTTCGCTCGTTGTTTTGGAAGGGTACTTCCCAAATTCGAAAGATTAGAATCGGTCCATAATAGAGAGCTATACCCGTCTGCCATAAATTCCACTGTGTATCCTGCTCCAGCGATCCGCGCAAATCAAAGTCAAGATATTTCTAATATATAACAGAAATTAGAATACATTAAGCCAAATATAATTGGGGTGACTTACATCCTGCGCGACAACATAGACGCCTCGAATGGCTTCAATAATTTGCTCATCAGCCAGGACGCGTGTAATCAAACGTGACCAGAAACCAGAAGGAAAGTAAGTCATGAGCAACATACGACGCAATCCTTGGCTACTCATGGAGGCAGAAGAAGTCGAGGGTCGCGGCTCATAGATGAGCTTATTCAGATTCAGCTCCTGTGAGACAGAGCACCCAACATTTCGACCACGCACACGCTGAAGCAATTTAACCGTTGTGCCTTCGTTATAGACAGCTGCCTCCTGCACCGGCAGCAAGGAGGGAATCAATAATGTTCGTGAATCCCAAGTAAGTGCCACCTCAAACTTGTTTAGTAAACTGACTATATAGCTGAAAACAACATAAGAATGTTAAAGGTTAATTCCAGTAAACATATGAGTAGGCAAATCGACTCACCTTCGATTCCCGTTGCTCTGCGCGTGCACACTGCGGAAGAGCAGCTGTAGATCGTCCAGTTTCATGACGCCAGTGGGCGCAAATGGATTGATCTCGCGCACGGTAACAACATGCGCGAGCATATCGCACAGCCATTGAGGATCGAGGAAATAGTAATCCCTGAGAGTCGCATCATCATAATGCAAAAGAATCCCATTGTCGTGGCACCAGGTTGTCGCCTGCTGTAGCTCAGCGGCATCACGAAAACTTTTGTAGTTATGCAGACGCATTTTCTCCGTGACCAGAGATCGATATTGCTCCGCATCCAGCACGGGATCGCGGCCAGCAGCACGAAGACTAGAAGCAATAACATTGACAATATCCTCTAAAGCGATATAGCTGGCAGGTATCTTCTGCAGCAGCATCGGTTCCTTGGAGCCCGGCGAGCGCAACTGCATGGCCGTGTCATAGATGATGTTGGCCAGCAAATGGATGTTGTGTAGGGTGCTATAGAACAAACATTATAATATAATATATTGTATATAAATTGGATTCAATTCGACTAACCGACAGCTAATTTCAATAGAGTCAATAACGCGTGGCAGTCCAATCTTTTCAGCATCTGGTATAGCTATAAACTTCTCCCGTATTAACTGCTGCAGTTGCTCGGCCTGCTGGGCAGAGATCGATTCCCCTACCGCATCGAAATGCGTTCCCACGATGAGCACTGGTGAATTTGGAGCACGTGCCTGAATATTCCCCAGCCATTGCAGCAGCTCTGCTAAGCCCTTGTGGCCATCACTAATGCGCCAGAGCACCAAATAGAGACTACGCTTGGACAAAAAGTATTGATGCGTTGCATAGTATTCCTTCTGGCCACCAAAGTCCCAAGTGCGAAACACAATCGCTTGACAACCAGTCGCACGCTTCCGCTTCTCGCATATCCATGTCCCAATATCCACGCCAACCGTTGAGATGTTTGCCTGGCGCTGGGAGCGCGAGGTGCTGCGCGAATGACCCATACGTTTGGCCCAATGATTCTCATTAGCGCGCGACCGATGCGAGCTGGAGCCACTCGAACTATTGCCCATGCCTTGACGCAGTAGATCCAGAAGCGTGGTCTTGCCAATGCCACAAGACCCCACCACCATGAGCTTCATACGCGCATACGGCTGTGCATCCTCATAGATAGATTTCAAATAACCAATAATGTCCATGGTCTTGTGCTTTTTGCTCTCAATCATGGAACGCAGCGGCTCCTGAAGCAGGCAGCCGCGTGTATTTAAATTCCACAGTCGTGAAAGCAGACCCAAATGAGGTGGCAAATCGGTAATCTGGACATTTCCACTGATATTTAAGACGGAGAGGCTACTCAGCTCGTGCAAGGACGCGGGTATTTCCTTCAGGCAGTTATTGGTCATGTCCAGCATGGATAGGTTGGGAAATATGACTTTGGACTTATTGACACCAACCACACTCCAATCGGCATCCTCGCTTTCATTGAATAGTGTCGTGGCATCATCTGTGGATAGTTGGATGCGCGTCAGTAGGTTATCGGCCAGAATAAGAGTTCGCAGAGCTTCCAGCCGTAGATGACGCCTGTGCCGGCACACGCTCTTCAGCACTGAAGCCCGAAAGGAACAGCTGTTGCTCTTAGAAGCCTTATAGATAGGTTCATCGGTGCTGGCATCTGGCAACTGTACATGACTATAGCACAGGAGATGCGGATCGGATTCCGTAATGCGCGGCAAGCTGGGCCAACACGAGATTTCATTGTGACTCAAATCCAGCTGTTTCAATGTGGCCGGATAGCTGGTTACATGACCCATGGAGCGAAGACTGTTATAGGACATGTTCAGCCTGGTCAAATTAACCGCCAAGCAAGGCAGCGCAGCGGGAATGCTGGTAAACAAGTTGTTAGCAATGTTTAAGCTGCTTAGCTGGGAGACACCATGTGGAACTTTGCCATCTGCAAATGCCTGTGCCTGCTCTTGATCTTGCTCTTGTTCCTGCTGCCACTTCAAGTCATTGTCTGTTACGTCCAGCGCTGTAGACCAGAGATTGCGATGCGTAATTTTTTGCAGCACCAACGAATGCGGCTTACTGGAGGACGCCTCATCGCACGATTGCAGCATCTGTAGCTTATCTAAGCTAAGCAGGGACCCGCTAGTTTGCATTGGCGGTACGGGTAGTTCGCGAAGTAAATTGAAGGCTACATTTAGCTCACGCAATTTGGGCGCACTCCACATGTCGAAGGGCAACTTCTGCAGTTTATTATTGGAAATATCCAAAATGGTCAAAGCGGGCAGCTGAAAAATAGCTGCCGGCAGAGTAGTCAGTTGATTATCCTGCAGAAAGAGCTCATCCAACACGGGACAGTTGTACGCCTTGCCTAGGGGTTCCGGCAGCTCTGTTATCTTATTCTGCGCAATGTTCAGATATCTAAATATTAGAAATCATTAATCCTTTTAATCCTCTTAACAGTTTACAATTAAACACTCACTTGAGACTAACTAGGTTAAACAGCTCCGGCGGAATGCTGGTTAAAATATTATGCGAGAAATCAATTCGAGTGATGGCTGTTAGCGCTACCTCGTTCAGCCTGGGATGCGAACTAAGCTTGGGATTCAATTGGAGCACCCCACTSACCAACCAACCAATCCGCACAAACGGCAGTTGCACATTCATATTCACACTGTGCCAGTCAATGATCGTTGGAACGTTAGGAAACATGGCGCTATACGAAATATTGCTGGCGGAGGGCTGAAACACATTTACTTCCACTGGTGTGGGCAGTCCCTTTTTATTAATCTTATAGTCCGAGTCAGGATGCACGCGACGAGCCAGCAACCGACTGAGTAACGCCTCATCCTCGCTGGCAATGGCCACACTTATCGCCGTGCCATTATCATCGCGTGCACCGAACTTTAGTAACAGATCCAGCATGGCCAGGGACCGTTGCTTGCACGCCTCGGTGATGGGCATATTGCTTAGGCCATAGATCTCTTCGCTGCACTTTGGATCGTTGTGATCCTCTACGGGCTTGGCCACAATATTTGGATTTGCGCCATGCTGCAGCAACGCTTGCGCAACATCTAAGTGCCCTCCGCGAACTGCTGCTAGAAGCGCTGTTTCACGTGCCGCCCCACAGAGCAAATTAATATGGAGCGGACATCTCAACGACTCCTGTTCCTGCGTGGGTTGCGCTTCGAGTGTGTCGCCCTCGCCGGAAATATGCAGCTTAGACATGATAGCCTGTATTCCAAACGAGATACGCTTGCGGGTCGGTGTAATGGGCGTACTCTGACTCGTAGTCGAGCTGCCTGAATCGTCACTCAAAGTACGCCGACAACGTATTTGCCACTTGAGCAGCACGTTCAGCAATTGCTTGTTGCCCAGCAAGCTGGCTATGTAGAGACTGGTTTGCCCAGTCACATCTTGAGCATTCGCATCGAAGGGCAGGCGCCACTCCCATTGCCCCTCTTCGTCACGATATGTTTGATAGAGGTAGTCAGGATATGGGAAATTTATTATCAGCTCCAGCATCTTGATATGCCCATTGATGCAGGCCGCATGCAAAGGTAGCCAGCGCTCCACAGTTGCCTGTTGTATCAGCTCCGGAAATCGTTCCAGCATAAGCTTCGCTATACCATAATGACCATTGTGCACGGCTGCATAAAGAGGCGAATACTTAGTCACCGCGTGGGACCGTCCATCTGCACCAGCGTCAATCAAACGTTGTGTGATACTCTCAAAGCCAGATTGACTGGCGCTGCAAGTAGTGGGGAGAATTATAAGAGGCCGAGCTGTAAAATATAATCCATTCTGGGGCTTCAACCTGCATATTGATTGCTCAGTTGATTGAGCACTTAAACAACCATCTAATGCACGCTGGCCTTACATAATCGTAATTACACATCGTAATTTCTGGCAATTTTAACTTACATATAAAGCAGAGTATTGGCACCGGCTGGTGCCACGTTCACGATAATCTGTCGCTCCCTCCCCAGAGCCTCGAGGAGGACTCGCACTGTGCGTTCATCTCCAGCACTAACCGCCGCACGTAGCTCGGCATGCTTTATCTGACGCACCTCCTCGCGCGCATCTGTAAGACACAAAGGCAGATTGAATAATTAAGCTTCCATATGGTCGATGGCTTTGATTGGTATGTGCCGCACCCATTCCACCTGAATTCTCAATGACCTCATCGACAAAATAGTCGCAGGCATCCAAAGCTGTTTCGGTGCCAGGCTTAGGGCCTTCGATAAACTTCCAAGACATTCTTATATAACCTGACCCCAGCTTTCCAAAGAAATAAAGTAACAAATTATATGTTTAAGCCATCGAGCGACCGTGCGTGAAGCTGTTCAAACTGTAACTGAGCCAACGATTGGCTTGACAGTCTCCTTGGAAAATCGATTCATTTGTCGCCAACGTCGCGACTCGTCGTCTGGTGTCCGGTTCAGCCAACATTTCATTCATTGAAGTCGTCGCACACAGTGCGCAAGACACACAAATCCCACAAACAACTGTTGCACATTGGGTATGGGTCATGGTTAGGCAGACAGGTGGACAGGTGTGCATTTATTTGTTTACGTTGCTCAGTGTAAACAAATATACATATGCAATTACGCACATGTTTATGTATGTACATATGTACATATATGGATTAAGTATCAACCCGACTGCAGAGCTCGAGTAAAAATACTGGACTGAAATCTGGCAAATTTGTCTCTAAGCGTATCACATTTTCATTTATTTATATTTAAAATTATTTTTTCGCGCCTATTTGACATTTATGGCGTTGTTAGCCACCCTGTGGCGATGGAAGTTTATTGACTTTTACTTACCCTCATCAGAGTCATCATTATGTTTCATAGCCTTGGCACATAAAAGGTCTTGCGTCTTATTTCAGCAAGTATATCATGCACAGCACGCTGCAAGCCACTTAAAACATCTAATAGCAAATTATCACATTTTTCGCACTGTTTTTCTTTACAAAATTTTCGCTGTTTTATTTGCAAACTCTTCACTTTGTTTATTTACTTTTGTACCAGGGCTGAACAAACCACGATACTTTCGTTAAGTTTATCGTTATCGTTTCGATTGTACAGCTCGCCGTCGTTGAAAAAAAGAGCCCTATACAGCACTACTTCTTTCAACAAGTAAACAAGGAGAGAAGAGATCATCAAAATAAAAAGAATTATAAGTTTTAAAAATAATTTATTAACGGTTTGATTGAGTTGTTTGTGGTGCACCAGTAATTTGTGTTAGCAAACGCGCGGCCATTGTCGGACGGGTCAAAAACAAGCAGGCTTGCGCAGCGCACACCCAAAAAATATATATGTACATGTATATATGCATGTGTATATGTGTGTGTGTGTGTAAAGAGAGACTCGGTAATAAAAACAACAGTAAAAACAAATGGAAAAGTTTGAAATATATTAGAAATTAATCAGCTGCAAACATTAATTGCGTTTTGTTGCTTTTCAATGCACTAAAAATATTTAAGCATCGCGACTTAGAGATGAGACTCCGGTGCCAAAGGCCGTGCCGCGTAACTTAATAACTTACACTAACTCGTGTAAAGTACGACCGCTTTGTGTTGTGCCTAGGCACGTCAATGATGAAAGTGCGCAAATATGGGGTCAACAACATTGGCCTTCAACAGGAATTAGAGTTTTAATCTTAACTATATTAATGATAGTACAAAAAAGTAGCGAACAGTAGTTATGAATTATAGCATAATACCACGTAGAGTATGCCAGCTTCGTCATACGATTTGGATTTCTTTTTTTTGCTTATTCGCCATTGCCGCTGCCGTCGCCGACACCGCCGCAATACCTCCCCGCTGTGCATATTTGTAGCTATAATGTATGATTCATACTAAATATAAAGTCAATCTTTTGGAGCCTTATTTAATCCATACGGCTAACTAAAATTTCTAAATCTTCGAGTCTTTTTTTCTTTATTAATTACAAATTTAATATTTTAATTGATTGATCTACCATTGGATGTTTAAGTTTATAACAAAAATCATTAAATTGCTAATTTTTATAAAATTCAACGTAACAATTCGGTTCATACCGAACTGAACTGATTTTAAACCGATTCAAACTTTTCCATTAGAAAGTCTTAACTATTGCCACATCTTATCAAAGTGGGCGACTTATTTCCATCTGTTTGCTTTTGCAATTACTCAATGCCACCTTTTGATTTTATTCCCCTACAGAGAAGGCCAACGCTTAAATGGAAAAACTCAAACGAAACAAAAACAATATGCACTTAAAATGTATACCAATTACTACAACAAAAATTAAAGGAAAAACTGTTGATAATAAAGCGCAACAAAATCGAAACTGCATGCGAAACGATTAAAAGACAAGCGAACGATCAAGAGTGCAACAAAGAGAGCCAGATAGAGTATTTTACTCTAATATATATAGACATATATTAAATTACTTTTAACATATACATATATATTTAAAAGAAAAAAAAAAACAGCCATGGGCGATACACTGTATATCTCCAACGAGACATACATGTTCAGCAGATTCTCAATTGATCTCTGGAAGTATGATCCGCCGGATACTGTCCATTTAACATGCCTGATTTTCAACGGTTCGACAATCTATTTGCACGTCAAGTCCACGGCCACAATTCGAGAGGTAAAAGAGGAAATATTGGCACAGGCTAGATATCTACCATTGAGCTATATGATTAAGGATGCCTGCGATTATCAAATATGTGGCATATCGTCCTATACGATCGAGCCATATACAGACGAGACGAAGCGTCTGTTCGAGGTCCAGCCGTACTTTGGCTTGCTTAGCCTTAGGGAACGCAGCGACTCGACCACCTTTTCCAGCGACTATGAGCTAACCAAAATGGTTACGGACATAATTGGCACATCGTTCGATCATCAAAACACTCAAGGTTCTCCTGAGGTAGATTATTTTCGCGCTAAGGTGACAGAAGTCTCTGATGAAATTAAACTGGAGCGATCGAGATATACGTGGCAGCAGCGATTGCTCTACGAGCATCCACTGCGGCTTGCCAACTCGACAGCCATGCCAGAACTAATACGACAACGTCATCCAAGCTCGGCATTTTTGATTGCCGTCAAGAACGAGAATGATCAGAGCACATTCACGCTGTCCGTACTGGAGCATGATACGCCACTCTCATTGATCGAAAGCACGCTTCAGAAGATGAACCGCTCACAGATGAAGATGAACGATCGTGCCTCCGACTATATACTCAAAGTGAGCGGCCGTGATGAGTATCTGTTTGGTGATCATCCGCTGATACAATTCCTGTACATACAAGAAACGCTCTCCGATGCAGCCGTGCCAAATGTGGTGCTGCAGTCGGTACTGCGGCTCGAGTGCTACATCAATCACTACAATCAGAAAAGTCTGGGTCAAAAGAAGCCCCAAAATCCAAATAATCAAATCGCACAAATCCCATTAGAGCCCTGTAATGTGATATGGAATTTGGAAAATGTGAATTTCACATTAACAATGCATGGCGTCACAAATGTCAACTTCGATCGTGCTCGAGCTTTTAAAGTTGGCGTCCATGTTGGTCTCTATCATGGAAAGCGAAAATTGTGCTCGCAGCGCACCGTCGATGCGCCTAGCCAAGGCAATTCGCAGGACTTTCAATTTGATGAAAACGTCATGACATTTGATATTCAAATGCGCAACCTGCCACGAATGACGCGTCTGTGTATTGTGGTATTCGAAGTGACCAAAATGTCGCGCTCGAAGAAATCGTCTAATAATACCAGCACGCTTAAGGATGACTTCTACAACAACAATCCATTGGCCTGGGTCAATACAACGATTTTTGACTATAAAGACCAGTTGCGTAAGGGACGTCAAACACTATACACCTGGACCTATGCAGACGACATCCAGTCGGATGATGTGTTTTATCCGCTGGGCACTGTCGAGTCCAATCCACGCGTAGACGGTTGTGCTATGGTGCATCTGACATTCCACCAAGGCACCAATGAAAATTGCAACGACGAAGCTATCTGTTATCCTAGCGAGGATGAAGTTCTACAATATGCAGCAGAACGAGCGTACTCCAATCGTGATAAGCAATCGCTAAGTATAGAGGAGCTTGGTGCCCTATTAGCGAATTATTCGGGCAAAGACAAAATTTACGAAATGGTTGACCAGGATCGCAATACCATATGGGAACATAAGTAAGTTGAGATAATTTATTCATTCGTTTATCATCAAAAAACTAAAAAATATTTGTGTTTTGCAGAAACGATATTTTGCGCGAATTTCCAGAGGATTTGTCTGTATTGTTGCAATGTGTGTACTGGAAAGATCGCGATGATGTGTCTGATATTTGGTATTTGCTCAAGATGTGGCCCCTTATATCCATTGAACGCTCACTGGAACTGCTAGACTATGCCTATCCAGATCCAGCAGTGCGCGGATTCGCCATCAAGTGTCTGCATAATCTCAAGTGAGTATGCTAGGACGCTGTAAAAAGTAGGTTTCTTACGTATTTATAATATTTTGCAGAGATGAGGAACTGCTGCTGTACTTATTACAGCTGGTACAGGCAATTAAGCACGAATCGTATTTAGCAAATGATTTGGTAATATTTTTGCTGCAACGAGCTCTGCGTAACCAACGCATTGGACATTACTTTTTCTGGCATCTGCGGTCCGAAATGCATACGCCCTGCATGCAGACACGGTTTGGTCTACTTCTGGAAGCTTATCTTAAAGGCTGCAATCAGCATGTAAAGCCGCTGCGAAAGCAACTCGAGGTGCTAGAAAAGTTAAAGGTGGGATCCGTGTTAGCCAAAAAGGGGAGCAAGGACAAAGTACGCTCCGTATTGCAGGATTTTCTCCGCAACGAACACAACAACGGCATCTTCCAAAATATACAAAACCCTTTAAACCCGAGCTTTAGATGCAGGCGTGTCACACCCGACAAATGTAAGGTCATGGATAGCAAAATGCGACCGCTCTGGGTAGTATTCGAAAACGTGGATCAGACGGCCAATGATGTGTACATCATATTTAAAAATGGCGATGATCTGCGCCAGGACATGCTTACACTGCAAATGCTACGTGTCATGGATCAGTTGTGGAAACGTGAAGGGTTCGTTTTAATTTTAGGCTATCACTTAGCTGAGGGTGTTTTTACTGATCGAAAGTTATTTATCATAGATTGGATTTGCGTATGAACATCTACAACTGCATCAGCATGGAACAACGATTAGGCATGATAGAGGTGGTTCGTCATTCGGAGACAATAGCTAATATACAAAAGTTAAAGGGCATGTTTTCGGCAACATCACCATTTAAAAAGGGTTCGCTCTACAGTTGGCTCAAGGAGCACAATAAGGCGCCCGAGAAACTTAACAAAGCCATCAATGAGTTTACGCTCAGCTGTGCTGGCTACTGCGTTGCCACCTACGTGTTGGGCGTCGCCGATCGTCATTCAGACAATATAATGGTCAAGCGTAATGGACAGGTGAGTGAATCTGTTTTCTTTACAGTACAGAAAAATAATCCTGGTTCACCATTTATAGCTCTTCCATATTGACTTCGGCCATATTTTGGGCCACTTTAAAGAGAAGTTCGGAGTGCGACGCGAACGTGTGCCCTTTGTGCTTACCCACGACTTTGTCTACGTCATCAACAAAGGCTGTATTGACCGCGAGGCAAAGGAGTTTTGCTACTTCCAGGAGTTGTGTGAGCGCGTAAGTTGAAATACAGCATTAGATTCTTATCGAAAATTAAAATTAAACACGAATTTGAAATACCATTTAGGCATTTTTAATATTACGCAAACATGGTTGCCTTATTTTATCGCTATTCTCAATGATGATTTCAACGGGACTGCCGGAACTATCCTCAGAGAAGGACCTGAACTATTTACGTGAGACTTTGGTAAGTATAATTTCCTTATAGCTCGCACGTATCTAATATGTTTTTAAATAGGTGCTGGACTACACGGAGGAAAATGCACGTAAACATTTCCAAGCGAAATTCAGTGAAGCTTTGGCCAATTCATGGAAAACGTCACTGAATTGGGCCTCACACAATTTCTCTAAAAACAACAAACAGTGAACTACAACTAAAATTTGTAGTCACGAGTTCATACCACATGCACACAGACATACGCACTCCCTCAGTATCCACAGGTCCTGTATATCGGTCTACATTTCTATGTTTACGTTTTCGGATGAGGCGTAGTACAATTTTTTTATGTAATACAACCACAAAAAAGTTCAAAACTATGTGTTCACTATATAAGGTCAAGATACACATATACACCCACACACACTTACACAGATTAGAAATAGTTATAACAGACCATACGCTTCTGTCGCCCCATAAGTGCTTTATTTCTATATTTTCTGTAATGTTTTCTTGTCGACCTGTAGAATTTGTTCAATGATTTTACATTCTTTTGATTGATAAAGGATTCTACGCCCATATAAATTATGATTATGAATGTATCCTATTAATATATATATTTAAAGTAAGCGTGTAATTTTTTGTATTGTTTAATCGATATGCATATTATTATTGATACTGTTATTATGTAAACTCCTGTGTTAACTGCAAAAACAACTTGTTTGTTTTTTTTTTTTTTTGCTTGTAATATTAGACCGTTGTCGGTCGGAGTGATTTACATCGTGGATCAGGTCAGTAAAGTACGGCAAACCATGTTCTGAACACAGCATACAATTACAATGCAAATGCTGTATATTATGGATTGATTGGGAACACGCAAAAGTGTGTATTTAATATAAGCATAAAATAAGAATTATTATTAGCCGAAATATCTAGAACAGTTTTCGCAAGTGCATAAACAAAAAGAAGCGATAGGTCTGGTCGCATTTGTAAAAGTGATGTGTCATGCGACCTTAGATTGAAAACGTCATTAATTCGATATTACCAATTAAAACAATTAAATTATATATTTAAACTGGACTTTAACTTCGACCATCCTTTTTTGAAACATATGGTTAAGTGCTCCTTATTATTTTGATCGTTGGTTATTTTCTGAAAAGTTATACAATTTTTTATAAATCATTTAACTAAGTTAGAAATCATGTGTTCACTATGTTAGGCCATATATACTGTTGACTGTCTCCATAATTGCTTCAACAAATTGTAAAAACTGTTTTCCAAAATTTTTTGTCTTTAACTTACCTGGGTTTTGAGCGACTGAATCCAAAGCAACGCTGACCTATAAAAATTATCACGAATGTATCCTATTAAAATATGTATTTATCATTAGGCTTTTTGTTTATGTTAAGTTATTATATTATACTCCAATTTTTCTAATTGCTGCATTGACAGTTTTTGGTTTTTGTAACCCTATGTTTATTTTATTAAGATAATATATCTGGAAGATAAAAGCAATTCAAAATAACTAATTACATACAAACATTTAAACAACAAGAGAGGGAAATAATAAATACGCCGGGTAATTTATAAATATATGCAAGCATATATTACGACAGATAACATAAATAAATGATGTATACTGTAATCGAAATAACAAAAATAAATAAAAATGTGCTTCTTTAATAGACTGTATGCAAACCAAGAAAATATTGTTTTTTTAGGGAAGAGTATCTTTTGAAAACAATTTAAGGTTTGACAACTTACCTTAAAATTAATGTGTTTGTGCGCACAATATTCACAAATCAAAACTATATCAAATTCATTTAGTATAAATTTTATTTGACATCAATAATTCAGTTTCAGTTTTATGCATGTATATAAAATATATTATTTGTTTAAAACTAGTTTTGTTTCTGGTTTACTTTACACTAATCTTTTGACCATATAGACGAAGAAATATTCAATATAAGTTTACTATACTATATAACCCTATAGCGCGTTTTTCAGTTAGGTTCGCGTTTTTAGTGTTTGAAACCTCGCTAATCAACATCTTAAATGCACACAGTACACTTAAACAAACGTTGCCAGCGTTCTACATATAAACAATTTGACGAAAAATAATTAAGAAGGGCATACAATTGTTATCAAATAAAAACGTTATACACAGTTATATATAATATAAATTTAACAAAATTGTAGACCCTAGGCGGAATAATAATTTATGGAAATTTAAGTTATTTGTTTTTATTTTATGAAACTAACGTTAACTGTAAAAGAGTGTTAACGTTCAGTTGAAAATAATTTTAGGGTTTGAATCGTTTAGGTTTTATTATTGTGTATACATCAGTATATGAATTTAATATCCTTTAAAAAAATAGTTTTTATATGGGTAATCTATTTACTCATTTTTTTCTGTTGTTACATTGTTGTCGGTGTAAAAATACTGTATTTACAAATATTACAACTATTTTTACTTATAGCATAACATATAAATAGTCATTTGTATTTTATAAATAATTTAGAAAATATGAGAAATATTTTTGTCTTTTTAGTTTTAGGAATATTTATATTCATTTCGTTAATTATTTGTATTAGTTTCAGTTGTACGAAATTTAGGTCTGTGTTTCTTGTATGTAAATATTTTCTGTATATGTAGACGTAGCATTCTTTTTGTACATTTTAGCAATTTTGATTTAATGTTGGCGAAACAACTATTTTATATTAAGTGCAGCCATAAAGGATAATTTTTAATTATATCAATTGAAATGTTTAAGATAAGCTTGTACAAGCTTTAGTCTTAGACTATCCAATTAATTAATTCAAATTGCTTATTTTTTTGCTAGTATTGTGAACATCAAATGAAAACATAGCAAAATAATAAATACTATTTTGTTACATATCCATTTAAAAATATAGAATGGATTATATTCAGTTTTAAAATTATTGCATAAAATTTCTTATTAAAAAGGTATGGCCAGGACTTAATATAAAATCGAATGTCAACTATTTTCAATTTACATTTGTATTATGGACCTTTTTTATACAGTTAAGTATGCTTTTTAGAATAACGTTGCTGGTTTTGTATATGTGTGAATGTTTTCATTTGTAATTAGTTGTATTGTAGTAAATTACTCTGTTTTTTTTTACTTCCTAGTTTTATTTTCATGTTCAAAGGCACACGCATTCTTTAAAAATCTGATTTGTTTTTTATTTAGTGTTTTTTTTCTTATTTTTCAAAATGTTTTGTTACATATACACACATACATACAAAAAAATTAAGATGCAGTGGCTTATGTTAAATTTATTACCGCTTTTTTTCATTCTCTAAAAATTTTAAGTTCAGTCTGTTCAAGGAAATGTTTTGATAAAAAAAATCTTAGGTCCACCTACTCAATGAACAGTTTAAACAAAATTTATTTTGTACCCTGACATTGAAATAATGGCCTTTAAATATTTTTTGAGATTCTTTAAGACGTGCATCCTATGGGAATATACAAAAATATATATATTTATATCATATTATTCATAAGTTTGGTTATTGAATATGTTGGCCAAATAAAGTGTATGTTAGTTAATTATATTCCTAACGGGTTTTGGAACGGTTTTGAAAACATTTTAAAATATGTATAGAAAAACTCGCAGTTGTTCTTTCTTCTTTGTGGATTAAATTGTCTCTCGGCCTTAAAATAAACCCTAGCTATCTTAATGCAAAACAATTGAGTTACAACTAATAAATAGCAGCGAACTTATCCGTAAGTTTTATGTGTGTAGTGTTGTTTGAATGTCGTCTTAAGCGCTACTAGTGCAATAATGTACTTAACTCAAAGGGTTGCCCAAACGCACACTGAAACTGCTGGGATGGATGGGGCCAGGAGGATGTTAGAGTGAACGCGAATGTCTCAGTGTTTTGACAGATTCAGTGGTAAGTCTGAAATTGAATGTTATAATTAGTTTTAATATTTTAATTTCCTATTTTACTCAATTACGCTCACCTGAACTTAGTTCATTTCTTAGACTACTATTTTGAAACATTGCGGATTGTACTGAGTTAMTAGTGCTGCCGCTGCCTGCACCACCACCACCTTGCGTTGTACCTGCAGACGTTATAGGCACGCTTGAGCCTGCCGATAAACTGGAGATGGTGGTGCGATGACTGGATGCTGCAGACACTTGATCAGTACAGATATCAGTCAGTTTTGGCGTATGCGTTCTGTGCTCAGCCAAATGTGTAGGCGGCGTATTATGGTGTCCCAAAGCCCCTGGATGCGTTTGATGTCCCAGATGCGGATTCGATGTTGGCTGCCCAAAAGCAGAGGCTGCCGCAGCCGCTGCGACTGCCACAGCGGCCGCATTAACACCATTATAGCTAAATGGATGATACGGCGATTGTGGTGATAATCGTGCTCCAGCCGCACTACTCGTCTGTGGATGCGAATGTGGATGCGGAGGCGGTGGCGGCAATAGTGGCGATGCACCTGCCTGGTAATGCTGCACCCACAGCGGATTGTGACGCAACGCGGCAAGCGTCGATATGTAAGGATGGTAGAGAGAGGGCGAGACTACCGATGGAATGTATGCTGCTGCAGCCGCAGCAGCAGCTGCGGCAACCGCGGCGCTACTTGTTGTGGGCGTTGCATTCGGCGCTATTCCATGTGGACTGCCCGTGCCGCTGCCATTCAGCTGCGTTGGCGGATACATGTAATAGTGTAATGGCGAACCAGAAGCTGCAGCAACAGCGCTAGGCGAGCCACGTTGCAATTGAAGATGCCGCCGTTCCGGGGACGAAGTGCTGCGCTCGCCTGGCGAGGGGCAACTGTTGGCCGCGCTACTGCTATTACTATTGCTGGCAGTAGGTGAAGCGAATTCGCGTCGAATCGATGCAGTCTTTTTGGGCACTGTGCGGTGCGGTGTATTAGCAGCAACTGAAGCTGCTGCTGGCTCCCGTGGCGAGGCGGTGGAAGATCGAGGCGGTGATAACAAATCACGTGAGCCGGAACCACCACCCGTCTGTGGAATGTGCGGCGAAACAGTAGCGCCACCATATGGAGCATAGAAGGAATGATGCTGTAGCTGCTGTGCGTGCGCTTGTGCCAACTTATAGCTATCTGGCGGTGTGCGTCGTCCATAGTCGACAGGTAACGGTGATCCAGCAGCTACATAAGGTGGCGAACGTTGCTTCTTACTAGCTGCATGTGACGGCGACTTACCCCCATTACTGCCTCCCATTTCCGGTGACTTGGGTGAATTGAGCGTCGAGCGTGGGTAATTGGCGGAAGTGGCGTACAATGAGTGATGATGGTGATGCTGATGATGCACGTTGCTGATTATTGCGGCCGGCTGGTCATGGCTCTTCTTGGAGGAGCTGCTACCGCTGCCACCCAATAATGAGTGTATGCTATATGAGCTATTCAGTCGGGTCGGTTGCGTTGCTACGGCTGCTGCTGCTACTGCTACKGAGGTCGATGAAGTTGTGGGCGTTGCCAAAACTTTAGCCTGTGGCGGCGCCAAATTGATGGGCATCGATTTGGTGGCCACTACGCTGGTTGTCGTGCTGCCTTTTGCACGACTACGCTTTCCCCCGGCGCCACCGCTAATCCCGCCACCAACTCCACTACCATTGTTGACGCAGCCATTGTTATCCTCCAGCGATACCTTCTCGAATTCACGCAGAATGCGCTTGCGTGGAGACACATGTTGATGATGATGATATTCGACTAGACGGCTGGCAGCCGCTGCCGACGATGGCGGCGAGACCTAAAAGATCGAAACAAGTGCAAATGAATACATATAAATAAAAATGGATATTAATTTGGTAACAAATGAATAGCAATTGTTACCTTATGCGCCAAAGAGTGACTTAGACTACCGATGGCTCCGCCACCGCTGCTGTTGCTGCTGATGCGATCTGCTGTTGAAACCACAGTTGACGCTGTTGCCGCCCCCGTAGCTGGTGTCTTTGACAATTGCTCTAGGCGCGCAGGCACGCCGTCAATTAATTTCTGTATGATGCTATTGAGCTTGGCTCTGGGTTTCTGCTTTTTAAGTCTTATGTCTGTCATCGTCGTTGTTGATTTTGTTGTTGGTGCTCCTGTTTTCCTTGTGTCTTTTTCACTGGCTGTCTCACACTTAGTGTGTGCTTTGGGATCACCATTTACTTCACTCGCATTGCCATTCACCAAACCATCACATGTTGCAGCCGCCCCCTCGTCCACTGTCACCGACATAGCATCCTCATCTTCACTTGTGTTCATTTTCTCTAATGTTGCCTCAGCTTTCGCTGTTGTATCATTCGAGTCTTTGTTGTCACTGGAACACGGCTTTGCCTTCGATTCCATCTTGCTCTCAGTCAATTGCTCCTTGATTGCTTCCGACTTAATCTCATCCGACTGCACTTCTGGTGTCTTTGTATCAATTTCAATAGCTTTAAGCGTGTCATCACCATTTTCCTGGGTAGAAACGCGCTCAAAGATTGATTGATGATTCTCAGTTGCAATTGTTGGCTCGTAGGGACGCCTTCGCTTACGCATTGCAGCCTGTCGTGCACTTTGGCTAAGCACATTGTGCCTGGGACGCTGGTAGTAGAGCGACAGTTCTTTGGAAATGCCACGACGGGGTCGCGTCTGCTTCCAGGGTTGGTCACGCTGCCAAGGTGATGACTGAATGGAGCTATTGTCATCGGAAACTGAAAGCATATAAATTGTTGAAATGGTACTCTATACTAATAAAGCCATCTAAAACTTACAGCTTAATGATGTGGAATTTTCATTCTTTGGATACGTTGTTGTCACTGCCGATGTGGGCGTTACTGTGGCCGAAGTCGCTGCCGATGGTGTGCGGAATGGCTTACGCGGTACTGATACCCAGCTGCCTTTATCGCCACGTGCTAGTTCCAATATGAATTTACCTTCTGTAAAATAAACCGAGAAAAATAAATTTTTTTTCGTTAGTTAGATAAACGTAATACGAGAGACAAACAAATTATCTATTGATATATTACAAACAATTTGCTAACCTTTAAAAAACTGGAGCCGGCCACCACAGCCGGACATGTTGTTATTGCTGTGCATTGATAATGGATGCCTGCCCATATCAAAGCTACTGCTGCCGTTGCCTGTGCCCACAAATTTGCTGCTCTTTGTAGCGCTGGGGCTATTCAATGCGCTATAGTCCAGGACGCCGGACATAACATCGACAGGCGCCTTTGGAGCTGTAACGCCTGCTCCACCGGCAACGAGCGCGGTAGCAGAGGCCGTCGCCATAATGAGACTTGAGCTGCTACTGCTACTATTGCTGCTGCTGTTTGTTTTAGTTGATGATAATGTGGGCGAGGTGCCATTGGATGTTGATGTTGCTGTTGAAGAAGATGTCGCTGAATTGGTTGCGTTTGTTGCTGTTGCCGACGTTGTTGGCTTCAGTTCTGGTGCGGCAGGAAGTTGAAATGTAACAGCAGCTGCAGCTGCTGTTAGCAGTGTGGCTGCTGCGGCTGCTGCTGCTGTATTTGTGCCGTTTATACCATTTTTGAGTAAAAATTTTGCAGCCGCCTCTGCAATTAAACGTTCGTTGTTGCTGTTGCTGTTGCTGTTGCTGCTTGTACTGTTGCTACTGCTGTGGCTGGCAACGCTTGTTGGACTACTATTGTTGTTGCTGCTGCTGTTAATATTGCTCTTATTGCCGTTACCGTTGCGCTCATCGGTCATTTTTTCAGCCGTACCAGCAGTAGCTGCAGCATTTTTACGCCGTACATTAGTTATGCTTTTTTGTTGTCGCTACACTTTACATTAATTTCCGTATATATGCATATAGAAGTAATTTCTCTGTTTCTGTTCCTTTTCGATTTTATTTTTTCTTATTTGTGTTGTTTTTCTTTCAGCATACATGCACACGCACACATCTACACACATTTGTCGTCACTGTTGCTGCACACAGCAGTTATTTTCACTGCTGTTGAGAAACTCTAAATTACGAAAGAAAGATAAAAACGTTTTTAAGTTTTATAATTTCATATTTGTTTTGCACTTGTTCTTGTTTTTAAATGCTTGCATTTTGTTTTTATATATCTTGTGCTCCATCTTTTTACTCCACACTCTGTTACATACACACATACACACACATGTTCTTACACAGACAAACACTTTCCACGTTAACTCAAGCCACGAGCAATACTCGCTACTTCACTCGTTTGCCTCTCTCTCTCACTCTCTTTCTCTGTCGCTCTCTGAGCGAGTGTCCGGCGCTCACACCCAAGAACATTGCTGCGTGCTCCAACTGCCATTTTGTTTAATTTTTAATTTAAGCGTACGTTTAAATTTACATGCTTGGTTGCTTTATGTGCAACAACAACAGGCGCAGTATGGAATGTGTCCTAGGTTATGAACAATTCATAGTTTTTAGTTGCATTCAACAGATAGCAACAATAACTACTTATATAACCAACAAAGCCGGTATATAATTTTAAAAACAACTCTTTGACGAATTAAAAAAATTAATACAAATAAAAAATCTACGCATAATCACAAATATGGTTATCAACACGACCTATTGGACTTCGGACGTATACATACATACACATATGTATTGCCATATGTTTTAAGATGCTGCGTAGTCCACTACGAAATTTATTAGGTACTCATCGAGCTGACTTCGTATCAGTAAAAATGTTAATCTATAGTTTCACATTTCATTATTGTTCTCTAAGCGCGCACAAAACATTGTTTTTGTTGTTGTAAATTCCTTGCGCACAGTGAGCAGTGCGCGGCCGTTGATTATCGCACAAGTTGACGGCGTCGCGTACCTAAATATGCCAGCTCGGCACCGTATTGGGGGAGCGTCTGCTATCATCTTATGTTGTTGGAATCTCAACAATTATTTTTTTTTGTAGCCATCCATGCGTTTACACCGCAGTTTTATTTTAGAAATGCGCCACATATTTTGTTATTTACTTTCACACATATTCACAATTGACGGGCATATGATTAGAGCGAGCAGGAGTACAAAGAGCGTAGCACGACACAAAACGAAGCGGAAGAGGAGGAGATAAAATAATAGAAAAAACGTTCTCCAATTACCAATACCATCGGCAATGTTTTTCACATTTTCACACGAAACGCGCGCAAAAAAATACACAAAATAAAAAGCATAGCGTTGCTGAATGTTTGTTGGGCACCTTGCAACTATTTTAAACGAATAAATTACTAAATAAATACGTTAAAACTTAATTTTAAAAAATTATCAACGAAAAACGCAGTGCACAAGCACAGACGGTAGGGAAGTTGATATCGATGGTAGGTATCGATTAATAATTATTCATGCGATATTTTTCAACTCATAAATTATGTAACTATCGATGTTTCTTATGAAAACAACAATGGTCAATGTCAGTGTTGCCAACTAAGCGATGCAAGTTGAGCGCACAATTGAAAATCTACTAACCTACTAACGTAATTGGATTCCACAGGTGAAGTTTAATGGATATTGTAATGTTTATTTAAATATATTTATTTTAGCTAAGCAAATATTAAAGGTTTACAAGTGTCTTTATTTCTGGTTAATACTGTATGTTTGATAATAATTGGTTATTTCAATGTATGAGCATGGAATAAAATATAAGATTAACTTATGTGTATGAATGTATGTAGTCGAATTACAACCCACTTGCTGCTTATAAAGTAATACAATTCCACTCTCTTCTATACGTTTTCTACGTGACAACCGCCGACGACACAATATAGCAAAATATCTTAAGTAATTGTATGTATGTTTCTTTATCCGTATGTATATACTTAATATGTAATACATTTTATTATGTAGTATAGGCCGGATGCCTTCTTTATATTGTTGAGTCGTTTTAATTCTATGCGCGCTGCTGATATGAGTGAAACGTTGTCAATTGCACAAAAGTGATTAAGAATAGATAGTTAGACACCTTGTAATATTGCACAAAGGAAATTGTAGTTTACACAACAAAGGGCCCACAGTTAAAAATTAATTTAATTTAGATTTGTTTTTGTTTTGTTAAAATGTTTCTTTTTTTTTAACATAATTTAAATATCACAGACTTTTTGCCAATTGAATTCATATGCTTCGTCAATTTTGTTCATGCCAAATCAAATACCAAAATAATCGAATTAGAACAGAAAAGAACGAAATCTTATAAGTATGGATAGCTCAAGGGATTGCAGCTTAATCTAAGACTCTAGCCGGATTTAAGCGCATAATTCTAATGACATAATGACACTAGCTAAACGATGGGAGACACGCAACTTTCTACTAGTGTCATCGTGTTATAAAATATCAGTCAAATATTGAAATGAAATCAAGTCTTGTGGTAAACATGGCACATAATAGGTAATTGGAAAACCATGAGCCAGGCCTATAAAGATGAAATTCTATTCTATGTAAATACTGTATGATGCTCGGAATCGCAGGAATATAAGATATTACCTAATGTAATTTAATTTTGATTCGATTGTGAGCTTTCCAATCCAATTCAGTGCAGATTATCCGTTCGATTGGATTGCAAGCCAAGCGTATTCATACCCATGCCTTGTGGCACGCCCACGCCCACTCCTACGCCTACACCCACACCGACAGTACCCTCACTTTCGCTCTTCCAGGACGAAACAGGAATGTGGGGTGCCGGCAAGCAATTGCGCAACGTTTGCACAATCTGAATGGTGTCCATGAGAGCTGTGGAGGAATAATAAATATCTTAGCTAAAATAGCTATAGCTGATAGTTGATTAGATTCACTTACTCTTCTGCAAGCTCTCGCTTTGCTTGCCATAGGGCTTACACATGGAAGGCCGTATGTATGTCTTCATCCGCGACATGTTTCGCATTAGCTCTGAGAATATGCGCACAATCTTGTCCTGGCCAACTGCCATGTGATCAATCCGATTGGCATCGTGACTGGCCCAGGCGCCATTATGCAGCGCCAACAGATCCTTATTTGATTCAATTGAGTCCAAATTGGATCTATTGCGAGAGAGTATACAATGATATTAAATCGAGCGATTGACAAAAATTAGATGAGCTCACCGCAAGGAATCAGAGATACTCTTATGCGTAAACTGATCCATGGATGAGTGAGAGGAAGACGATGACGACGAGTGCGGCGATTGCGAAGGCGGTGGCAAGGAATGATGCGTATGATGCACCTGTGCCCCAATGCTAGATCCGACTGTTGCCGAGGAGTTAGTCGTAGTTAACGGCGTCGGCTGCTGCTGATTAGAGGCGACAGCTGCAGCCACTGCTTGTGACTGCATCATGCCTTGAATTTGCAAATTGGCAGCTGCTGCTGCAACAGCCATTGGGTCAAAATGCTTGGGATCGAGCTGTGCGAATACACGTTGCTTCTCCAAAGCACTTAGATTGCCAAGTTTCTCCAGGCTCTGCTGCGCAAGCACGCGATTTTGCTGTTGAATCAATGCGGCTGTAAGCTGTTGCTGATGTTTTGCCTGTGCTTGAGCATGAGCCTGTTGCTGCTGTTGTTGCTGCTGTTGTTGTTGCTGTTGTTGCTGCTGCTGTTGTTGCTGCTGTTGTTGATGCTGCTGATGATGCGCGACAGCAGCGGCCGCACTTATTTGCGATAGCTGCGATTGTATGCTACTCTGCTGTTGTTTAGTTAAGTGCTGCAACTGTGGCGGCACCTTGGAGCCGCTCGATTTGGACAAGTCAATCTCGACAGGAGCAGCGTTGTTGCTGCCACTGGGTACGCCACTAGCAGCACTGGCAACAGCCGAACTAACTGCAGCGCTACTTCCTGCCGCAGCGCTTGGGGGGAGATGCGATAGACGCTGCAAAAAGTCAGGCGTATTAACGCCAGGATATTGTTGCTCCATAAAAGGCATGGGGGATATGCCCATGTGATTCTTATAATAGCGACAGGCCGGACTGGGACACGATTGCACCACTTCAATAATAAACTCCTTTTCCATGCCGAACTGATCTCGTCCAATGGTGTACGACTCAATGACCGCGCGCACCGTGGCATCTACACTGAGATGCAGACCATGCGGTCCCGACATGTGCTTCAACATTACCGCATTGGCAAAATGCTCAAAGGGCAGCACAATCTTTCCATTATCGCGCAATATAAGTCGCCCCTGTGAGTCCAGAGTAAGTCGATTGGCCAGGACTCTGTGTGGGAAAACAGTGAATTGGCTGGAATGAATTACTAATTGTCTATACTTACTGCAAGTAGGCGGCACTGGGCAGCATGGCGTTGTCCTTCAGATCACTGAAGCATTGCAACAGTTCGGCGCTCGGGTTCCAGCCCTTGTTCTGCAGATAAAGCTGCAGCAGCATATAGAGCTTCTCGGTAACATATCCAACGCCGGCGTTTGGCTGCTGTTGTAGCATTTCGGTGTGTGTTGGTCCGCCCATGGAGCTAGTTATGTTACTGCTGCTGCTACTGCTACTGTTGTTACTGCTTACTGCATTGACCACGCCCCCGCCCACTGGGCCTTTGGATAATGCCGCCTTCATTGTCTCAGAGAGATCCAATTTGTAATTTTCTGGATAAAAGTGCTTGACGTGCTCCTGCAATCAGGTTTCATGTATCCACACAAACGTAAATGCAAACACAAACACAAWCACATTTAGTTTTCACACACAGACAGGGGCAAACGTATACATGCACGCCAACACCTATACACCCCCACCCACATCCCACCCAACCAATCTACAAATATACACACTGCACACACACTCACCAAATTGTTCATTTTTCGGCTATGTACGGTGCGTCGAGTGCAGCGGCATCTGCATCTATTTGGAATCGCGCCACCAATGCATCTTTGAAACACTAACGGTTATTGCTAGTTGTCCAATTGGATTGCAATTGTGCCTCTGCTTTAACAGCGACACAAAAATGAAAATTGTATGTGTCTGCCGACTACTTCTGTTGTCCTTCGGCAAGGAAGTGGGGACTGTTGATACTTACACTTATCGATTAATTGCAACATAGACGATGTTTTAAGCACGAGATGTTACATCGATATTTTTGTTTCGTTGCCAGTGGATATTTGCGATATTGAGATTGTTGCCGATAATTTGAGGTCGTATCATAAATTTGCATATTACAGTTTGAACTGTTATACTGAAAAAACTATCGATAATTGCTCATAAACGGTTTTTTGTAATTATAGAAATTATCCATAATAACCTCACATACAGAACAATTAATACAGCCTTAAATTTTGTATGTATATTATATTTACTGAGCTTAATCTAATATAATATCGTAAAGCAAATAAGAAAGCAAAATGACATTTCTTAATGTAAGTCCATTAGAAAATAATTATACTCATTTTCGTAAGCTAAATAACTTGTATGTGCAAAATGTAACTACTATAAATAAGCTAATCATAATTTACAGCACGCAAATGGCGAAAAAAAGTCGCCAAGCACGCGATAACCAAAACGAAAGGTGTAACAAGTGACGCCCTCATTAACCCATTGCTGTGTGGTCAGTCATTCAACTGTTCATAAAAACTAAATAAAACAAAACAAAACAAAGGACACCACCAACTGAAACAGGTGGAATAAGCATATTGCATGGGGGTTGGGTAGCTATAGCAACTTTTGGCAAACAATAAAGGATTCGTACCCACTCCACTAAGAACTTGTTTACTTGCCAACGTGCAACCGCAATTGCAGCTCAAATTCAGTTCACATTTGTGATTCATTGGGCCCACATCGGAAAACGAAAGAAATATATATATTTTTGAGTATTATGTGCTTCCTTTTGGTAAATTGGTTCTTCCCATTGTTGTGGACAACAGTTTTCATTAAGCTCGGAAACTGTACGATTTTGGATTCAAAACCATCGCCAACGCCACACACATTTCGGTTTCAACATACTCAAAAGTGTCTCAGGAATGAGTTCTACAATTTGAACTATTTTCAATGCTCTCCCTGCAATGAGCCTGGAGACGGAGACACGAAGGAGCTGCAGCCTACTGCAGACAGTAAGTGGGTCTATTGATTAAACAAATGACTATGCAGCAGATGGGGGAGCTGTAGCACTCACTAGACATTGCATGTAGAGCGTTTATCACGAAGTAGAAAAGTGCATGTTGGATTTACAATTGAGGTTAAGTTTTGAGTGACAGAAGCAACCCATTTAAGTAGCAACCCCTACAAAGAGCTGGGACGCTCGCTTTGCGTTATGAGGATCACGTGAAAATTCTGATGTATTTAAGCTCTTATGGATGTGCTCCAGATAACTTGTCTTTATATCAATGTATGTATACAACATATAAATTTCGCATTGAAGTCTGATTAGATATTTTAGCAAATAATGAAGATATATCATTATATGTGATAGGATTTTTGAAATGGCAGAAACAGCGATTAACTATGATTTATAGCTTTTATAACGTATCTATTCATAATAATGGGTTTATGTATAGTCTTGACCGAATGCGCAATCTCTCTAATTATAATCTCTTTCTCTCCCTCTTTTTGCACTTTCCTTTCTCCCCCATTCAGAGTTCGGTTGCCACTGTCCAATTGGGTATATATCCGTTTTCGAGAAGTCCAAACGTTGGCCAACCTGCAAGGAGATCTGTAGCAATGCCACAAAGTCCTCTGGGAACTGTACGGAAATTCAGTTGCCATCCACACAGTGTAGCTTCCAGTATCTCAATAGTTCAACAAGCGGTTCCATAGTGTTGGCCAAAACGAACTCCGGCAGCAACATCAGCGACTGTCATAGCTGCAATGCTGCGTATAATTTCCACTACCAGGACTATTGCATAGCCAACACGCTGTTACAACCCTATTTGCACTACAACGCCTTCTGGCAGACAACCATCAAATTGAAGTCCAGCTCCCCCAGCCGGCTCCACTTTGGGGACCTCAAGTTTGTTGCCTTCTTTTGCTTGGCACTCAGGAATGACAGTGCATGCCAGGAACTGGCCAACTTGTGTGTCCTCTCGCACTACTCCTTGGACAAGCACTCGCCATGCAGCCCCTTTCTGCTGACTCAGATGTCGGATGTGGCCATCAAATATGCCCATGCGGGCGAACAGCTGCGCGCTCTGGAGCCCTTTCTGTTCTATAAAAAAGGCAGAGCAACACGAGAGTTGCTTACAACCACGCTCCATCTGGCGAATCAGACGGAACTACAAATCTTTAGCACAACCTACGACCTGGCGGGACGTCTTAAGCGGTGGGGTCCTCTTCACTTGGAGCAGCTTAATCTCTGTCCAGCTCAAAAGGCACCTACTTTGGGCTTAGAGCAGCAGCACCAGCCGGAGCTTAGTTGCCAGCTGAGCCTGGAGCAGCTCATAGATTTCGCTAGTCGAGACGGGAATGATAACTATCATAATCTCTATCTCAACTTTAGCAGCAACTGGTCATATCTGCTACACCAGCTGCCTGTGCTCATCGAGACACTGACTGCAGAGAATCAGGTAGAGTATCTGAATATCCGCAATAATCCAAATTTGATATTCGTCCTTCTCCATTGCAGCGCTCGCAGGAAGAGGAATGGCAGCTAGTAAAGCGCTTTCAGCTGATTTCCGCGCATCCCCGTGATAATCGAATGCATCCTATCTTGCCGCTTTATGAAGATGCCCACAAGCTACAGCTCTACCGCTCCTTGCGATATGTGGATAGAGTGGAACTGAAGTACAACGTCCAGGCTGGCCGGCGACTGGGTCTGCCGCTGCTGCAGCTCAGCTATCGTCACATTGAAATTACAGGGAACGCGTCGTTGACTCAGCTATATCCATTTCGGTTGCGCGTCCGCTTTGAGCAACTGCATCAAAACGGCACTGCGAAGCTCTTTCTGGAGCTGGCTTTGCCGTTGCTGCTCTTTTTAGCCTTCGTGGCTGCACTGCTACGCCTACAGAATCTGAGACGACGCCGTCGCGCCGAGCTCTGCCAGACCATAAATCTGCTGGAGCTGCTGCTCCAACTGGCCGCCAATGTGGCACTGGCGTTACTGATCACGGGGTTGCTATTGTTGGCTCTGCAGGCTTGCATGCCTCAGCGATTGGCAGTGCTCATCTATCCCGCCTGCCTGCTGCAGCTCATCTTTCTTGCTGTACATCTGCGACGCGCCAGCCAACTGGAGCTGTTCCTCATCGATTGGGAGCGCCCACGCAGCAGCTGTGAGGGTCAGCGCCTCAATCTGGACAGCTCCTCGCTCTGCTCCAGCGTGCGCACATATGTCGCCGAGAGCAGCGTTTCCGCCTGGCGAATTCTCTTTACAGCCAATGCTTGGATTAGGCTCAGCTGTGCCCAGCGATATTCCAGTTTGGTTCAAGCCTTTGTCGTGATCGCCGCCTATCAGCTGCTTCAGCATTACGGAAAGTTTCAAAGTCTTAGCTATTGCTTGATAAGTGCTGTGTATGTGGCCACATATCTGATGCAACTGATGTTGCTTCGAGTACTTCAATCCAATCCACTCCAGAAGTTCGTTGATCTCTGCAGCCTGGCTAACATCTCACTATTTTCGCTACTCGAGCCGGGCTATGGCTACTATATACATGGACGTTCGCCGCATGGCTTCGCCGATACGGACATGTCCTCCATGATCCTGCAGCTGCAGCGCGAGGCACAGAACATGTGCGGCCGACGTGGACTGCTTATTGATTCAGACAAGCAGTCCTACATCATATTGCCACCACGTAATCTGCGGTGGGTACAGCTTTAATCTATATCGTCGTAGTAGAATTCTAACTTAGGAACTCTGCCTGCCTTTTTAGCATATATTTGGATCGCCTGCTTTTGCCCTTCCAACGCAGCCGAGACGGCAGCATGTCCCAGACGTTGCTCTACCAAAAGGAACCGCAGATCTCCAGCATTGATGGCCAGGTGGAGCGCACTTCCATTGCCTACGCCAGCGTCAATCGGTTCTTCTGTGCATTTATCGATCACGTGAGTTGACAATATATTCACAGTTAATATTTACTAAATTAATAATTTTAAATGGTTAAATTAATTTTAAAATTTTACGAATGCAATATACATTTTAAGAAACTAAAAATATGAATTTTATGCAGGCCATCAAGGATATGGATTATATCATTAAGGAAAAAACATTGACGGAAAAGCTATTCAACTGTGAAATTGAAAACTATCTAACAGAGAGTGAGTTGTGCAAGATGCCTTATAAATCATGGAAAATTACGTATTTATGTATCTCATAGATAAGGGCACCTTCTACATTGATGATGCACTGAGCTTTAGTCGCGTTCTGCTGCTGGGCAACCATTTACATATATTTGTATTGGAGATACTTGTGCTGCTCTCCATCTATTTACTGACCTCCAGTCTGCTACTTGGCGTCGCTATAGCTTGCGCCTTGAATATGGTGAGTCAAAAGATAAATATCTTAATTCTCGACCATGTCCGACAGCTGTCCATCAATCATTGCAGCTTATTCGCCACATCTTCAAGCGCTGGGTGCGTCGCAATGTCTCGCGCAAGACGCTGATTGATGAGCGATTTCTGCTGTAGCCCTACCAGCATCTGGACGAGCAATATATGCGGGACGATGGCTTCTTTGGTATATGATAGATTAAGAATGAGCATCGAAATGAAATGTTGCCTTTTTCTTTTATTTAAAAATCCACTTGATAGTAAGTAGTACATTCAGTATGTAATTTCTTATTTTGTTTTCGATATTTATAGTAAAACTTACAGCTAAAACAGATATATAATAATTTCTATGGTTTTCACATTCAACATATAAACATATTAGGCTTCCGCCTGGTATCATTCCACTTTCAATTGTTTGCCTCAATTTTGATAGGATAGCACACACATTACTGTTCCTCTATTAATACATCCATATACATATATATCTATAGTAGACATTACATCTGTTTAATTTAATTTCTATGTTTTTCTATTTTATTGTTTTTCATTATGTGACATTAATAGGATTTTTGTTTATTTTTATTATTATGATTTGATTAGATCGGTTAGAAGATATTCTTGTATTTTCCA